ATAYTTGAGTGATCTCCATTGGTTGAACAGTGTCTCTGATTGTTCATTGGCAATGTGTTTGCCGATTGATGGGATGATGTTGTCTCGATGAATGAATTGTAGTGGTAGTGATGGTGGTGTTGTAGCCTCTATGTTGATAGATGCTCCTGCCTTTGCCAGATCGTCTGCCATGTCGTTGCCAGTAATGCCAGAGTGTGCTTGCACTTTGATTAGTTCTGTTGCTGCATTGTGTTCTTTGCGCTCTTGAATGAGTTGACGGAGTGAGTTGACTGTGTCAAAGTATCCATGTTTGATGTATTTTAACGTGTATGGTGATTTCTCAATGTTGCGATACACATCGATAGATGTTTGGCTGTCTGTGTTGATAGTGAGATTTAGTGATCTTGGTGTCTCTTTGAGTATGGTGTTGATGGCTTGAAGTTCGGCGTTGTTGATAGTTTGACATCCAGCTGTTCGTCTTGATTCTCTGATGTTAAGGGATGGGATGTAGATGCCATAACCAGCCTTATGTATACTGTATGGCTGATTGAGAGTTGTTGCTCGTTCATATATGTTGTTGAGGGTGTGTGTCTGTTGTTGTTGCTGCTGTACAGGTGGTCCAGGAGGTAAGGTGCTAAAGTGTGATCCATCAGTGTATACCTCCAATGAGTTGGTGTTATTTGGTATGTTCAATTGTTGAGTGACTGGTGTTGTCCATTTAGGATACTTGTTAATGAGATCTCTGATGGTTTGTAAGATGTTGTCATCGTTAGAGAATAGTTTCTTTCTAATTGTGTTGTATCTTTGTTGTGAGATATGATTGAGTTGTCTATCATTGTTGATTGTGTTGAATGATCGAAGTCTTCCATTGAGCATCAGTGAGGAGATAGATGTATCTGTGTAAGGTATGCGATGTTTGCCTGCATAGTATAGATCTAGGTCGAGTAGTCTGTTGTTTAGACTGATTTGAGTACTGTTGGTTGATAACTTGAGTTGATATTTGTCGCATATCTCTAGTGCGCCCTTAAGAGAAGTGCCATGTATGTTCTTGCGATTGATGAATAATGTGTTCTCTTGATGGATTGGTTGCTCGATTGATGGGTTGTGAATGATTTGAAGTTTTCTCCAGAGTGAGAAGAATGATTGTTGAACCAGTGTGATGTTTGAGTTGATCAGTTTGTAAATGATGGCCAGTGTTCGTTGTTCATAGATGTCAGTGATTGCTCAAATCCCCTTTGGTCTAGTGGTGAGGATTTTCGCCTGTCACGCGAAAGGCCCGGGTTCAATTCCCGGAAGGGGAGGATATTTTGCATTGATTAATCGAATACGAACTTCGTAAATATGTGAAGTCCAGTTTGATGGTCCAAGAGGTAAAATAAGTTCAAACTCCATTCAATCTTTATTCAATTCAAAAGGCGGTCACACATATTGATGATGTTGAGATGTCCATTGTCAATTGAGTGATGGCGGATTGTGTTGATCAAACTGGCCATGTTGATTGGAGGGTTGGCTCGATTGAATGGTGAATCGTCACCTTCAAACAGATAGCTGAGCATCTGATGATTGTTCTTTTTGGAGGCCTCAATCAGGCTGTCCAAAGATGGAAGATGTCTTTGGAGCTGGGTGGGTGTGGTACATCGCTGATGGACAACTTGCATCAAGTCAATGTTATTGTTGATACAAGCACGACTCAACAACAACTCTAACTGCTGGCAGTGTGATTGCAGATCATTATCGTCGACAATGAGGAATCCTTTGTCCATGATGTGAGCGAGTGTCGATGGTGTGTTGCATTCATTCAGGTCAATGATGTCTTTGAGCTTATGTATGTGCATTATCCCAGACACACTGATGGCCAACTCGACCACAAAGTCTAATGATTCAATGTCGTCTCGTTTGATGATCTGTTCAATCATTATCATGAATTGATATGATGTCATTTGATGTATCGCACTTGTACTGCTGTTGGTGTAATATGTGGTGAAATGATTGATCACAAACTTGATGACTGAGAGTGACCTGGCGGCGGCAGTTTCCAGCATATATAGTAAGTTCTTCTTAAGAGTTGAGAGTCCGTATTCCAAATTGTTGACAATATCTATGATCACCTCCTCACACTTCTTGGGATCATCAAGGAATTTGGAATGTCCAATCATTGTGCTCAGGGTATATCCAATTCTATGTAGATTGCCCTCATCCTTGAACTTTAGCCYTCTTGTCCTTGACCTTGACCATGAACCTACTGATCGATTCCAGGTCACACACATCCATAGCCAATTGAACAATACGGATACAAAGTACTTCGTCCATGTCGATGTTGTGTTTGTCCATAATATCGATCACCTCTCTGTTTCCAACTTCGATTGCAATTTCCAATAGCATATAATTGTTCTTCACAAAGAATGTAGGTGTGACGGTCATCAATCGCTCAACAAACTCCACAGACATAATATTGGCATGAATATCATGGATGAAGGGTAGCCTGTCAGAATCAACTTGATCAGCAAATGACGATGATGAGATGAGTTTGAAGAGGTAGTTGATCATGTCCAAGTGACCATTCTTGAAGGCCTCAGTCAATGATGAATATATGACTACAATGTCATAGAGCCCATTTGACAATATGAGCGAGTGGATCACCTCGGCGATCTCCACGTGGCCTTTCCCCGCTGCCACCATGAAGCCATTGTGTAGGTTGACTTTAGGCTTATTGTCATTCTCGGACTTTTGGAATGATTGTCCTGGGATGATTGGTAGTATGGCTGCCAGACACTCGACTCGTCCATATCTACAACAATATTCTACGAGTAAATCGTGTATCGCTTGTCGCTTCATTTCATGATTGCCACTCAGCAATAAAGGACGGTTGTCGATATAATATTCCACAACCGTAATGATATTGTGTTTGATCGCTTCTAGAATGAGATGTTGTTGGTAGTCTGTGCCGAGTACCGCTTGGTAAAACAGAGTCTCTAGCATCTCCATGGCATATGGTTTGGTGAGCCACTCTGTTGATTCTCTTATGTTAAATGATGGGATATTGATGAGGCAACCATACTTGACAAGCTTGCGAATGAATGATGGGTGTTGGATATATTCATAGCGATTGCCAATGCTCTCGAGAACAGTCTTGCGATCATTGATCGTGAGGTATTGATCAAATATTCTCTCCCAATCTGGATGTTTGCATGTTGACACAATGTACAAAAACCCAAGATGTCCTCCATTCTCTTTAGGACGGAGCGTCATGCAGGGGTTGTTCAAGAGTGCATCAATCGCTCGTGAGTCACACTTGAGAAATGCCAGTTCAAGAAGTGATGAGTTGGTTCGCGGTCGATGATGTGTCTTGGACATGAATATTGAGTTTGAGTATGATTGGAGGAACCATTCGGTGGCACCATATCTGAGGTAATCACTCAATGAATGATTGTCCAACAACTTTGAACCTTTGATCACTTTGTCGAATGGAATGCCAAGTGATCTGTGAACATGTCCAACATGCGACATGATGAGCATCCCAAGCTTGTGATCATTGAACACTGAATGGAGTACGGTCTGTAGCCTTGTTGATGCAACATGAGTTGGTGTGTTCTCCACATTGGGTTGTCTGCGATTGATTGAGTAGGTGAATTAGTGTTGTAGTTAGTGATGGATTGATTGAGCGAGCAAACAAACCTCGAGCTGAGCATGACTTACATTGAGTTATCACTCTCTAGTGACACTTGTGATGTGATGGCCTTGATCTGATCAGAGCACAACCTGATCACATGAGTATTGCAAGTAAATTGATTCAAGATCGTGTATAGAGCTCGCAATCGATCAATCCTGGGAAGGTTTGTGAATGGCGTAGAGCTAAAGAGGTGCTCCAAAGTGTGCGGTGCGTTACCAAGATGGATCCACGTGTTTAGAGCCGATAGATTTGGAGCTCGCATGGCCTTGGCAATTGCATCGTATCCAAACTTATTCTCAAGCCACTGGATAGCTTGTGGTCGATCATTGCGAAGTGCTGATTGAATGATGTCACCGATCAACTCGTCCTTGTTTTTGATTGCCTCCAATGGGGTATGACTGATGACATACTCCAACACCTCAATGTGCTCATTCATCAAACTATCTTGTATGACAAAGAGGTGGCAATCGGTGACTTCACCAAATAAGAGAGTGACATACTCCAATGTTCCAAGGCGGAATACACCGCTTGTATGTACGACAAGATCAATGTTGGTATTCTCGTACAAATGATTGAGGAGTAATAATATTGTCTCTCGACATTGCATTCTGATTGCATTCCCAAGCATATCCGAACCATAGGCTTGATCGAATCGAGTGTGTATGTGTTCCAACACTTGGACAGAGAAGCCAGCCGCAGTGACCATGGCACTGTTGATCATATAAGTTGTTTCATCGTGATTTAGATCAAAGTCACAGTTGAGTATGAAGTTGCAGACTACGTCCACTGTGATGTTGCTGGCATGCTTGCCCTTGCTTACGACCTCCACCATGTTGACCAGTGACTCGATGCCAAGCTTCAATCGAGTGATCCTTGGACTCGTAATGAGCACCGCCATGGACGCGGACATCCTGTGACAGAGTTTGGCGTCCAGTTCGAAGACATTAACATTAACATCACCTCGTTGAATGAGTGACTCCATACCCTCCAAGTCATCGCTACGAATGCATGCCAGTATTGACACGGGCATCTTGCCAGGGCTACCATTGCCATTGTGATTGTCGACGAGGTGTTGCAGGAAGTCCATCTGACTGTGATCGCATGCTACCTTGACCAACTCATTCACATCGGTGTAGCTGAGACATTCTCCACCAATCTGAGTGTTGATCAACAGGTTGAACATGCTGATGTTCCCAGCCTTAGCACATCGCATCAAACACTTGTAGATCACGTCATACTCGGGCGAGAATATGTTCATCTCAATATCGTGTACATTGTCAATGATGTACTGCACACTGTCCATCATGTTGCACTTTACAGAGTGAAGCAATGCCCGGTGCCAAATATAGCGATATCGATACAGACACTGGCCATACTCGTGCATCATTCTGAGAATGCCAACACTGATGCCACGACTGCGGAACTTGAACATATTGTATTTGGAGTGTTCCTTGTCATTACTGGTTCTGAATGATTCGGCATGCTCGAGTACCAGACGCACAAACTGTTCGTTGCCCGTGTCCATCAGCATGAATATGTGGATCAAATCTTTGGGTAACTCTTGTCTCATTGTTGTCGCGATGTACCATTTGAAGATGTCGATGTTGCCATGTTTACACAAGGCCGATGACAGTGGGAAGTCTTCTGGAGGAGAGTCAAGTATCATGCACGTCGTGTTGAAGTACATGTATTTGAACGCTGTTGTGTTGTTGTATTGCATTGCCTTCCACAACAACTCGGAGCTGATGGAATAGTCTTTGGCGGATGCTTCGATAATGTTGTTGAATGATTGAATGAACATTTGAGTGGCGTTGTATCGCAACATCAAGTTGAGGTCACCACTGGAATGGAGTTTGGCACCTTTGATCGTTGACTTTATCATCAATCTTGGATCACGATCCTCTCGAGCCATGTTGGATGGTGGTGGCAACATTGACCAACGGCTGTGCATCTCACTCACATGTCCAAAGATCACACGGCACAACATCCTATTGTGGAACACTTCATTTATACATCGCTTATTATCTCTTGTCATCATTAATGAATGAGTGATTATATATGTTTGATTGTGTTGTATTGGATTGATAGATTGAATGAATGAGTGAAGATTTAATATAATTTCGATTGAGCTATGATGGCTTCCAAATAGGCAACGGTTTGAAAAAAGTGATCAAAATTAATTTTATACATTTATTAATATCTGAATAATCATTGAATATTCAAAGACAATCACACATATTGATGATGTTGAGATGTCCATTGTCAATTGAGTGATGGCGGATTGTGTTAATCAATGTGGCCATGTTGAGTTGGAGGTTTGCCCGATTGATTGGTGCATCGTCACCTTCAAACAGATAGCTGAGCATCTGATGATTGTTCCTTTTGGAGGCCGCAATCATGCTGTCCACTGTTGGAAGATGCCTTTGGAACTGAGAGGGAGTGGTACATCGCTGATGGACAACTTGCATCAAGTCAATGCGGCCACTTCTACAAGCACGATTGACCAACTCTGACAGAATGTATGGTTTGTCATCATCACCATTATTGTTGCTGAGGTATCCTTTGTCCATGATGTGAGCGAGTGTTGATGGTGTGTTGCAATCATTCAAGTCAATGATGTCGATGAGCTTATGTGTGTTTATCTTCCCAGACACTTTCATGGCCCACTGGATCAAAAAGTCCAATGATTCAATGACATCTCGTCCAATGCAGTGTCCAATCATTATTTTGTAATGTTGAGAAGTCAAATAAAGAAACACATTGATACTGTTGGTGTCGGTATCGGGTCCATATCCATGTTATTTGTTGTGAAATGATTGATCACGAGTTTGAGGACTGGAAGTGACCTGGTTGACGCTGTTTCCAACAACTCAAAAAGATCGTCGTAGATGGAGAGCTGAGGTTCCGCCTTCAAAGTTGACAAGTTCGATGATCATCTGCTCATACATCTTGTGATCGTCTGGGAACTTGGAATGTCCAATCATCTTGCTCAGGTGGTGTCCCATTTTAGTTCGAATGTCCACGTTATCCTTGACCATGAATCTCTTGAATGACTCAAGATCCATACTTCCAAAGCTTCTCTAACAACATGATTATAATCAATGTCCTTGATGATGATGTTGTTGTTGGTGCACATGTCCAACATATCGATTACATCTCTATTTCCAACTTTGATGGAACAACATAGGAGATGTTCATAGTACTTTTCGAATAGTCGAGGTGTAACTGTCATCAATCGTTCAACAAACTGCACAGACATGAAGTTAGAATGAACATTAGGTTCATGCTCTATAAAGACCTGGGATTGATGTTCAGCTTCATCTGATGACGATGAAGAGATGAGGTTGAAGAGGTAGTCCACCATGTCCACGTGACCATTCTTGATGGCATCAGTCAAGATGAATATATGACTCCAAAGCAATAGAGTCCATTGGACATAATGAGCGAGTGAAGCACCTCGACGATCTCCAAATGGCCAGTCTCCACAGCGACTTTGAAACCATTGTGTAGGTTGACATTAAGCATAAAGAAGGTAGGCTCATACATGTGTGCAGTCCACTTGAATGATTGTGCCAGGATGATTGAAAGTATGGCTGCCAGACACTCGACTCGTCCATATCTACTACATGACTCGACTAGTAAATCATGTAAAGCTCGTCCTTCATGGTGGCTGATCGCCACGTAGCCATCCAGCTTTGACGGACATGTATCGATATAATATCGCACGATCGTCATGACATTGTGTTTAAACACTTCCAAAATGATAGTTCTATGGGTGTGTATATTGAGTGCGTGTAGGTCCATCAGGGTATGGATCATCTCCATTGCATAAGGTTTGTTGATCCAGGGAAGAGAATCATTAAAGCCCAACGTATTGAAATGGATTATGCAACCGCACATGACGAGCTTGCGAATGAATGATGGGTGTTGGACATGTGCATGATGGTTGTCAGTGCTCTCGAGAACTATCTCTCGACCATTGATCAACAGATATTGATCAAACAATTGCTCCCAATCTGGATGTGCATGAAGACAAGTTGGTCACAAACTCAATGTGTTGTCTCTCCCCGCCTTCATCATCAATTTGGGGGTTGGTCAGGAGTGCATCAATTACCTTAGAGTCATACTTAAGAAATGCCTGTCCAAGAAGTGATGAGTTGACTACAAATTGATGATGTGTCTTGGACATGAATATTGAGTTTGAGTATGATTGGAGGAACCATTCCGTTGCACCATATCTGAGGTAATCACTCAATGAATGATTGTCCAACAACTTTGAACCTTTGATCACGTTGTCAAGTGGGATGCTAAGTGATCTGTGAACATGTCCAACATGCGACATGATGAGCACCCCAAGCTTGTGATCCTTGAACACAGAATGGAGTGCTGTCTGAAGCCTTGATGATGCCAGATGAGTTGGTGGTGTGACCTCCACATCATGTTGTCTATTAGTGAGGGAATGAGTTGGAGTTAGTGTTTGTTTGAATGATGGAATGAGAAGACATTAGAGAACATGACATACAATGTGCCAACACTATCCAATGATGTGATTGCCTTGATATGATCAGTGCACAACATGACCACATGAGTGTAGTGAGTCCATTGTTTTAAGGTAGTGTACAGAAACCGTAAGATATCAGTCCTTGACTCTTTTGTGAATGAGTTGTTGAAAAGGCACCCTATGATATGATGGGCATTGCCACTTCTATGCCATTGGTTTAGGGTCGTAGTAGATGGTATTTCCAAGGATGATTTGGTCACCGGTCCAAATCGCTGCTCAAGCAACTGAATAACTTTTGGTCTGTAGTTGTAAGGTGCTGATTGAATGATGTCGTTCAGGCTATAGCCCTCGACTTGTTTGTCCTTGGCTTTGAGTGAGGTCTGATTGATGACATACTCCAACACCTCAATGTTGTCATTCTGTAACGAACTACTTATTGCTAAGAGGGACTCTTTGAAGTCGGCATATTGATCCATTAGTAGAGTGACGCACTCCAATGTTCCATGTTGGAATATATCGACGTGATTAAAGAAGATGATATTGGAAATGGCTTTTTGATCGAGATGTTTGAATAGATATGACATGGTCTCACAACATTGCATCTGGATGGCATTGCGAAGTATATCTGATTTTTGGGTAATGTTGATGTTGAATCGTTTGTGTATGAGTTCCAACACTTGGACAGAGAAGCCTGCTGCAAGGACCAATGCACTCTTGATCACATCTGTGTGGGGATCAAAGTCACAGTTAAGTATGAAGCTGCAGACGATGTCCACTGTGATGTTGCTGGCATGCTTGCCCTTGCTGGCGACCTCCACCATGCTGACCAATGATTGGATGCCAAACTTGAATCGATAGATTCGAGGACTCACGATGAGTGCAGCCATCGATGCGGACATCCTGCGACAGAGTTTGGCGTCCAACTCGAAGACATCCACACCTATAGGGCCCTCATCATCACCTGATAGAATGAATGACCTCACGATCTCCAAGTCATCACTTCGAATGCCTGCCAACAATGACATCGGTATCTTGGCTACATCCAGTTCTTCAATTGCCAAAAATGTTGGCTCTGATGACGATGAATCCTTGATCAACAATGGTCGGAATATCTTGGAGATTGGGGAGCGTATCGAGATGTTTTGAGGGTAATGATTGTTGATGAGGTATTGTAGGGAGTCCATCTGTCTGTGATCGCATGCTACCTTGACCAACTCACTCAGGTCTGCCTTGCCGAGACATTCCTCAAAACCAACGAATATATTGATGAGCCGTTGGAACATTATGATGTTGCCTGCTTTGGCGCACCGCTTCATACACTTGATGAGCAATACAGAGCAGTTTAGGCACCAGTTTCTATCCATCTCGTATAGGCTGTCAATGAGGTAATGAACACTGTCCACAACTGATTGAGTGAAGCAATGCAGTCTCCCAAAAAGTGCGATTTTCATACCACTCAGCATACTGGTGTATCAATCTGAGAATGCCGATACTGAAGCCACGACTGCTGACCCAGTTGGGATGGTGATATAACAACATTTACAACTGCCCTCCTAAAATTTTTTGTATGATTCAGGTACATGTCTGAGTACCAGACGCACAAACTCTTCGTTGCCAGTGTCCATGAGCATGGGTATGTTGATCAGGTCTCTGTCCAATGTTCGTTGCCATCATGTACAAATTGAAGATTTCGATGTTTCCATGTTTGATTAAGGCTGATGACAGGTCAAAGTCAATTGGGGGTTGGTCAAGTACCATGCGCGTAGTATTGAAGCATAAGTGTTTGAACGCGGTTGTGTTGTTGTATTGCATTGCCTTCCACAACAACTCGGAGTTGATGGTAAAGTGTATGTCAGATACTTCGATAATGTTGTTGAATGATTGAATGAACATTTGAGTGGCGTTGTACCGCAACATCAAGTTGAGGTCACCACTGGAATGGAGTTTGGCACCTTTGATCGTTGACTTTATCATCAATCTTGGATCATGATCCTCTCGTGCCATCGTGTTGGATGGTGGCGGCAACGTGGACCACCGACTGTGCATCTCACTCACATGTCCAAAGATCACTCGGCACAACAGTCTATTGTGGAACACTTTATTTATACATCTATTATTATCTCTTGACATCGTTTTATGTTTGATTGATTGAATGAAAGCAACAATGTTTGAGTTGATGAATACCAAATGAGGCAACAAGTTTGATCAGTCGATCAAAACGTTACCCAAGCTAAATGTAAACATTTATTTAGTTGTAGGTGAGGAGATACTCTGGATACGCCCTGTTGTTCTCGTAGACCATGTACACTTTGCTACCTCCGGTCTCGCCACTGATGCTGTCATAGTACTCAGTGTAGCCTTTTTGGTTGTCTGGCTTTTGTGGCGGCTTCGTGAATGCACGATTGGGCATGATGTGTGTGCAGTCACCAAGCATCGTGCGGGCATAGAACATCTGGCGATGTCGACTTGGCAATACTGAGCTGTAGGTGAGGGAGTATGACGCCTTGTCGGCAAAGTAGGTGGCCACACCCCACATGCCTTGGTTGCTGAACCTGGTATCGAAGCCATCCTCGTCATTGTAAATCAAAGTTGGGCTGTTGGCTCTGGTACCGTGGAACAGCATCATCTCCGTTGATGCCAGATCGGTCGATGAGTTGTTGCTGTTGTTGACATTGACGTTCATCTTCTTGAGGATCTGCTGCTTGCGTGTGGCGTACCTTTCCCACAAATGTTTGTTCTGTATCCTCTCAATCTTGACCATGACGATCGTTGGTATGGACTGGTGCACCCTCTGCAAGATGGCTTGGTACTCGGCCGACTGTGGATCGAGTTGTGTTATCACACAGTTGGCCGTTTGCTCCTGTTGAAGGTACTTCTCCCAAGGATAGCTGATGGTGTCTTTGGACGAGATGAGGAGCAGTCTCATCATCTTGATCTCGGCGGCAGATGCGCTCTCCTTTGGTCCGATCAATCTGATCGCATCCTTTGTAGCCTTGATCTCACAGCCATGCTGCTTGGCCACCTTGTCCAACACAGTCTTGAGGTCACGTTTCTTGTACTCCTCGACCGTGATCTGGACCAGTCGGTCCTCGTACAGGGTGTCCTTGATGGTCTTCTCAAGTGTGATGATGGCTGTTTGTAGCCTCTCCTGGGTGAGTGCGGTGATTCTGATGTTGACCTTCTGACTCTCCTCCTCTGGCTGGTCCTGCTCGAGGTCGTCAGCCGAGATGTCCGAGTGCTTGGGCTTGTTCACAGACTCGAGATGTCGATCAAACTGCTCTTGATAGCTGTTGATCAAAGGGTATGTACCAGTCCTGAGCACACCGGTGTAGACCTCCACAGTGGAGGTTGGGAACATCACCTTGTAGTTGCCGATCTTGAGATGTTGCTGTCGCTGCTGTGCAAGGTCTATCTGGTTGGTGGGGTCGGGGATGGAGACTGTACGACCTGATCGTTCGTCGCGGTAGTACCACGTCGACTGCTTGGCGCCTGCAGCAGACTCCAACAGCATCCTCTCTCGAATGATTGAACGAGCATTCTTCTTAAAGTGGGTGTTGAGCTCGGTCTTGTTGACCAAGTCGATCTCATAGCGTTGGCCATTCTTCTGCATCTCCAAGTCGCCCTGCACCTCCAGCTTCTTGTCACCCTTCAAGTAGGCGTACTCAATCTGATAGTTCTGGTCCACATCAAACTTGACGTACGATCCATCATTCTCTTGCCACTTCCACTGGTATGCCACTTTGAAAGGCTCATTGCTGTCGTCGAAGTTGTTGTTGGCCAACTCGCGCAGCAGAGTGGTCGCAGTGGACTGTGGACCAGTGAATAGAGACCGACCAAGTGGGGACGACTTGGACTGAAGCTCATTGCTGAAGAGCAGAACCTTGTCATCATTGTTGTCACATACTTTGATTGACTTCAAGGGTGTCTTGTTGTTCTTGTCGATAAAGTCATAGATGGCCTGAATGGTGATGGTGGCACATACCTCATAGGGTATGCCAAAGATTCCGGAACCAATGGCTGGCAACGAGACACTCGTGCACCCAATGTCGACTGCCTCCCAGAGTGACGCTATCACAGCAGACCTAAGAAGAAGCTTGCAGTGAGCCTGGTTAGATGAGCTCCAAATGGGAGCCACTGCATGGATAATGGCCTTGAAGTACAGCTTGCCGGAGGGGGTGGACATAGCGCTGCCAGTCTTGACCTTGCCCTTGCTGTGGACTAGATCGCGACATTTAACTTCAAAGTCCAAGCCAGCGGCGTCGGCAATATGCCTCGCAATGCCACCGTGATGTTGAAGCTCATTGTTGGCAGCGTTGACGATGGCTTCAGAGTGCTCCAAGAGTATGTCGCCCTTGTTGACCTCGATGGTCACGCCTCCGTAAGTAACCGAGAGCATGGTCTTGTTGGTGCGGACGTCAGGCTGCAGTAGCACCTTGTTGGCACCAAAGAATGACTTGACGAAGCCAGACTTGAGCACCTCATTGGCAATGACCCTTGGTAGTGGGTGTTGGCGAGTTGCCAACGCGGAAGTCTTGGCCTTGACCCACGCCACTGTATCCTTGTGGGCGGCATCGACCGCCTTCTTCTTGCCCATGAGTTGGACGTAGAGCGCTGACTCATACTTCTCAAACTTGACGTCTTGATGTTTGCCAAACAGTTCTTTCAGCTCTCCATCTGGATCGTACTTGACAAGGATTGAGATGAACTCAGGCTTGAGCTCGATCTTGATTGATGTCATCTCAGCATCCTTGACAAGCTCATCCAGTGCTTTGATTGCGCCGTCAATGTCCTCCTGTGTCTTGGCAGTCAGTCGGAAACGGGAGCTGTTGCTATCATGTTTGAATGAGAGCAGGTTCATGTCCACCACGAAGCTTGAATGCGGCTTGAAGTCTTCCTTGAGAGCGGGTTTGTCTTCTGGTGGCCACAAGGCTTCAACATGTTTGAGCTTGTTGATAAAGTTGGCCACGTCGTTCCAGTTGAGCTTCGACGAACCTATCACATTGATTCGTGACTGATTGGGCACGTGATACATCATAACCTCAAAGGCTTCAGTCAGCTTCCTCCTCAGCTCGATGGTCTCATCAAGGTTCTTGGCCATGCGCAAGGGCAACTCGAATTCCTGGCCCTTGAGATCCTTGATAAGCTCGTTGATATGCTTCTTGGCCGTCATCACATCCTTTGGCTTGCCCTTGATGATGAAGCATGGTTTGAGGTTATCCGAGCTTAGCTTGACGCCGAACCTAGTCTGCATCTCATCCTTCCTCGCTTCGACTGCCAGGTACATGTGCTGCCACTCCTGGAGAGTCGCCGTCTGGTCCATCGTGACGAACGACTCCCTCTTGATTTGGATGTCGCTGAGCAGCTTCTTGACGTCCTGCTCCCACAGTCCTTGAACATAGATGGAGTTCTTGGTCTTAAACAGACGAGCGCGTTGCTTCTCAAAGCTGGTCATGATGTAGCGTATCTCGTCTTGTGACAGGTCCTTGATTTCCACTGCCCTGCCTTCCTTTTGTCTCTCCAACTTCTCCACCTTGTCCTTGAGTGCTTGATAGCTGCGCTCACGATGAATGTAGAACTCCAAGTCTAGTATGACGAGCTTCTCATCAAATGCTGGTATGAACTCATCATCAGATGATGAGTCTAACTCGCTTTCATCCACGCTCGACTCCTCGTCCTCGCTTCCACTCCACGATGACTTGGTCTGGCGCTTGGTGGGGTTGGACTTGGACCTCATGAAGTGGCAAAAGATTGGCTCGTCCTTGAAGTAGGCCTGATACCAGTTGGTCAGCTCCATCTTCACGACCTCCGAGAATGTCTTGGTGAAGCTGATCATCTCCACCGACTTGGTAAGATGGTCTAGCATGCGCTTGGCCTCCTGTAAATCCTTGTCGTCGCCCACCAAGAACAAACCGTTCTTGGACTCGGTGATCTTGATACGGTGTTCAATGTCCTGCTTGACAAACTTCTTAAAGAAGAACTGCACGCCCTTGGACATGGGTATCTCCATACGCTTGTCACCGCTAGACTCTAAGTGGTTCTCAAAGTTCTTGACCTTTGCTTTGGGGCCACAGAATATGATGTTGGAGCCTTCGATGGCGGCCTTGATAGAAAACTCATTCTCGACCGCATCGGGTATTAAGGAGACCTGGGGCAGCGGGCGCACTCGATGTTCAATATCATGGAGAGCGGCCAAGACCTCTTTGACTTCGGAATCAGGGCCACATAGAACCGGCTGTATCATATGCTTGTCCTTATTGCTCGACTCCTTGATCGAATAGACTATGTTTGGCTTGCTCTTTAGGGACGCAGTTAAGAAGTGATGCACCATTCCTCTGATGAGCAACGATTCGAAGGACAAGTGGAGAGTCGTCTCCTTCACTTCTTTGATCTTGTTGTTCAGGTATGTGTTGGCTGGCTCCAGACTCTTGAGGGGACTGCTCAACTTGACCGAGGTGGACGCGCCATCCTTCACCAACACAGCCATGACACTATGCTCCTTGATGATGAAGTGTAGAACGTTCACCTTCTCCAAGTACATGTTGGTCGTGTCGGAGATATGAGTGACACGGTGCTCCATCTTCCTGGGCTGCGCGGCATCGAATAGCCAAAAGCTAGAGATGATCTTGCCACGATGATTCTTGGACTTGTCCTCCACAAAGGTCTTGTCCTTAGCAGTCATCAACTTGCGGTCGAGAAGCAGCTTCCTCTCATCATCCGTGGGCACGGGCACCTGCAAATGATCATGCGGGGCACCCTGGAGCACTCCAATCATTGGAGAAACCTTCCTCAAGAGATTGAGCACGACCCAGTTGTGATGTCTGCTAGGGTCAGGATAGAGATACACATAATAATATGGTATCTCCTTAGTGTAGTCTGTAAACTCAACCTGTTGTTTGATTGATTGATGGTTTGTGTTAGGCACTCAATGAACATCAACCAATAAATCATTTGATCGATCGGTCAATAATATGTGATACATACTATCTTGCCTTGCTGAATAGTCAGCGTCTTCTGTGCCAATAGCTTGGCGTGTGATTCCTTGTCCAACTCTACATAGGCAAACTTTGATCGTATTGTGATGAACAGGACCTTGTAATTGGCCTTCCTAAGGGTGGCGGCCAACTCATCATGCTTCAACCATTTCGGTGCATTGGAAGCCACCACAAACTTGGTGCGTGGCTGTGGCTGTGGCTCCTTGCAGTTGTTGTTGTTGTTCGTGATGCCCGTCGATGAAGTGGACAACACAGGGCTACCAGTCGTGGTCGACACTGATGTGGACGATGTAGACATTGAGATGGGCACATTGACTTGAGAAGGGGCAGAGTATCCACTTGAGGACAGACTAGTATCATGGAGGTTGCCACCTCTACCATAAAATATCATCTCTTCATTCTCTGGATGCCATGCTATATCATTGGAGTGCATACGCATTGGTGTACCAGGCTGGCTAAATGATTGATTGGTTGGAGGGGCCATCTGAGGGGTCCTGGGCATTGACTGTGGCTGTGGCTGAGGCTGAGGCTGATGCATCTGCTCCTGTAGCCTGTCTAGCTCAAGCTGCTTGATGTTCAACAGACTGTCCTTAAGCTCTCTGGAGCTCAGTGTGATGAAGCCACTCATTCCTTCTGGGAACTGGTATACTTGAAGTATGTGTGTTGAGTACTCATTGTTGTTGTTGTTGTTGTTGTTGTTGACGGACATGGTGCGCTGAATGGTTTGCGCCAACACCATATGGAGCTCATGCGAGTTGAACTCATTCCTGCTCAATGTATACCTGATGATGTGTTCGTTGGGTCGGTTGTGGATACAAAGGGCACTCTTCCTCTTGATCCTCAGGATGTGCTGATCATCCTTGATGCTCTTGAGCAGACTGTCAAACTCGGCCTGAGTAACCTTGTCAAACTGTGCCATGGCCACCTTCTTGTCATCTGACAAGCGAATGTCTCCAGGGTCGACCCCGACAGAGTGGGATTCCATAAAGATATTGGATAGTGACTGCGGCTCTAACAAAGGGTCATTCATGGCAATGAGCAACAAGTTGGTTTGTTTCTCCATTATCTTGACCATTGTGCCTTTGACCTTGACCGAGCCCTCGCTCAAGCTCACCTCATACTGCTCATAAGGTAACTCGATCTCGACCACCGTATCACTGATCCTCTTGAAGCATGAGGGGTTGTCCAACACGACATCAATAGAGCCCTCAAAGACAGATTGTACTGTCTTGAAGTCGATGCCCGGTGGCAGGCCTTGTAGGACAAGTGTAGACAGTCCTCCAGACACCTTTTCAAATACGATCTATATGTATGATGTTTGAATAAGAGTATGAGTATTGAGTTGATGTCATGGGGCACACTGTGATATCGATCAAACATACCTGTCGATCCTTGAGAAGGATTGGCGTGTCAACAAGTCGGCCATAGTGATGCGCTGGCAAGCTGAAGTGCACAGACCCTGTGTCTGGACTGATTGATGGTGAGTTGCCAACTACCTCTGTTGACTCCGATATCTCGACGTTGTTGTTGTTGTTGTTGGAAGTGTTTGGCCCATCTATCTTTACGTCATCTATCTGTAGCCCTGTTGTTTCTTTGATCAAAGCAATGAATGATTCATTTGTTGCACCTTGGTCGTGATCAAAATAAACATTCCTGGCAACGACTTTGACTGATGATGTTGAAGAGTCAAACTTAAAAGGGAAGAAGTGGATCAAGTTTGATTCAAACTCCTCCAACTTCATTCTCTACAGACTCTCACTATTGTTTGGATTGAGATAGATTGATAGATTGATTGATTATTTGAATGTAGAAAAAAGATATATATATATTGTACAGGTAACAATTTTTGATTGATTGATTGAATGTGAATGATACGATTGTTGATGGATCATGGATGGATGGAGGATGAGACCTATGATACTCAACTCCTTGGTTGGGAAGTATCCAAAACCAAAGGAGTCCTTCTCTGGTCTGATGACCCACCACCAGCGACGATCCGAAGGAATGGAAAACTCAAAGCAAAGTGATCAGAACTGATTGGGTGGGGGTGATCAGCGGGTGGGGTATACCTCTGATCATGTGATTGAAAAGTATCTTGGGAACAAAAAGAGGGTTCACTAGACAAGTGTCTCCAATTAATTAATAAATAAATGGTCCTGCAACATGAGCTGAAGGACTGTATTGTTATGGTGATGATCAAATAATCATTGGTACGCCAGCCGTGGACTGTGTGCTTGTCATGTGTGATGTAGGTATGCCATGATGATGAATGAGTTGCTCTGTAGTGGTATACTGTTGCTGTTGCTGTTGTTGTTGCTGTTGTTGATGTTGTTGTGGCTGTACTTCTTCATCATCATCCTCATCATCAGACTCGTCTTCTTCGTCAGAGTTGTTGTCTCCACCATCATCATAGGATGATTGAACTCCAATGGCATTTGCCTTCTTGTCATCATTGGATGATGCACTGCCAAGCGCACCACCACCCGCCGACACATCCTTCTTGCGCTTCTGACTCTTCTTTGGATCGATGACAGTCATGCCAGTGGTGGAGGCCAGCAACTCCTTCTGTTTCTCACTCTTGACTGATTTGGCCCAGGCAAGGCCACAGGCATTGCACAGGGTTTTGGCGCCATTGGGTCCACGACGCCACTCTGGTGTGTTGGTGACGCCACATTGATGGCACAACAACTCGGCTTCGCCAATGCGCGGCTTGCGCTTCCTCGTCTGCTTCTTTGATTGCGAGGCATAGGAATCGCCGCCCGCAACCTTGGCCAGCCCGTTGGGAGTCGCACCCATCGCACCAACGAGGTGATGTTGCTGCTGCATCTGCTGTTGCTGCTTATTGATCAATGTGAGTGCTGGATTAAAATACATTGCGTCGGCGGGGCCATAGTGTTGAGGATGACCAGGCATAAACATTTGCTGTTGTTGTGGATGTTGTTGCATTGGATGATGTTGTTGTTGTTGTTGCTGGTGTTGTTGTTGTGATGCCGATAGGACCACTGGGGAGAGGTGTGGACTCTGCATCGAGGGTGAAGCATAGAATGGGCCCTGCTGGGCAGGACTGCCCAGTGTTGGCGTGTTAGCTATCGATGAATGCGGATGATGGATCAACTTTCTTCCATTCTGCATCAGCATTCCTGCCGCATAGCTGTCAGCAGGGTTCTAAGCGAGGGCATGGTAGGACAGGTGTTAGCTTCTAATCAAATGAGCATCCATGGATGCAAGTTGTAAGTACTTACAAACTTCATGATCTCTGCAAGGTCGGTCATTATTGCATGACAACATGTGATGCCCTCTGTGAGCTCGTTGAAGGCTACTTGTTGGCCCTTGAGTGCCTTGGCAGTTGTTCGCACTAGGTTACTCAGGTACTTGTTGATGTCGTTCCACAACAATGTTGAGTCTGTCATGGACGATCCCTCCTTCTTCAGCATGTCGCCAGTAGACAATGAGTTGTTGGTGGCACCAGCAGTCGTGGCCACTGTTGCCGACTGATATCCATACATCGGTGGCTGCTGGGCACTGGCAACACTAACCGTGGGTGTTGTCGATATTCCATAAGCCGTTGTACCCTTGAATGGTGACTCTGTGTCCTGTGAAGGTGCCAGTGACAACGAGGGTGCTGTGACGCTGGGGAAGCCTCCGGGGTACGGCAAAGTCGGTGAGCTAGTAATGTTGCCTTGGCGCTGAGTACCCTCGGATACCTCCTCCACCGAGTCTGAAGACTTTGAATCCTTCTTTGATGTCCTCTGCTTCTTGTTTGACTTTGACGACTTCTTTGACGACTGTGGCTGAGGTGGTTGTTGTTGGGCATGTGATGTGTTGGTGGTGTTTGAAGTGGAGAGTGGAGCTATCCTTGGGCTTTGCGCTGTTGGGTTTGCCTGTGTAGTCGGATGCGTGGCATTCGCGTTGGACTGCGATTGAATGTGTTGGAACTGAGTTTGATGTACAAATGATTGTTGATGTTGCTGTTGTTGTTGATATTGCTGAGTGTAAAGTGGATTAAATGACGACGATTGATGATGCATCTGTTGTTGATTATGTACATTGTGATTGCCTGTTGATACTGGTTGCTTGTTGCCAGAGGTGGCGGTCGCGGAGACGGGCCTCCAGCCAGACGAGCTGAGGTCAGAGTGCGGGGTGATGGGCGATGCATTGCTAGTGGGCCCGTCCGAGCCCGTGCTGCCGTTATCGCTTGGTTCTATCGAGTCTGAATCAACGTTGTCTGGAGTGGTCTTTGGTGTTGACGACGGTGTGATGCGCATTGGTGATGGGTGGGCGATTGATGAAGATGAAGGTGGTGTAGTGTCAATGTTCCTCGGCGAGGGTAGCTCGTTGTGTGGTGGTGCCTTGTCGCGCTCCATGACCATTCTCGAACTCGTGCCGCCACTACCACCCAACCTATGTTTACTACTGCTGCTGTCGTCCTGCATTGATCCACCCGATAAAGAGCGCGCAGGAGATGGTGGCGGCAGCAGAGATGAATGTGTGCTCGAGGGCACGGGCGACACAGACATCTCCATTGGCGTCGGTATCAGCTCTTTGAGATTAGTTGAGGAGAACGATGGCAGTATGGATGGCGGCGTGGACACGCCCCCATGTACATCGACCACCGACGAATCGTCGTTGAGGAAAGATGTCGACGCTGACACTGTCGCCAAAGATGTGGGCATGTTGTTGCTCTTGTACGGCGAGAATGTCAGGCCGCGCCAGATATCGTCCAAGCTGTTGCTGTTGCTGTTGGTTATTCGGTTGGGCGTGCCAACGCGCCAGTCCTCCGACACGAGCATCAAGTCCTCCAGGCTGGACTTTGACTTTACGCGCTCAATACGATGTGGTGTGCTGTTACTTGAACGATCGCGTAGCAACGACGAAGAGTTGCCACCCATGCCCGCTGACAACAACTGATATGTGCTGCCCTTTAACAGATCCTCCAGACTTCCATGTTCGCCCAATGTGATCGAATTGATTCGTTTGAAATTTGACGATGATGATGAGCTAGTACCTGATCCTTTCGAATTGACACTCAATGTAGATGTGTTGTTATTGTTGTTTGAGTTGTTATTGTTGTTGGATGTTGTTGATGATGTTGAGTCATTGTCATTGAGCAGGCTTTTAAGACTGCCTGAACTTGATCCTCCTGTGTTGACTCTTGACAATCTGCCGTTATTATTATTGTTGTTGTTGTTTGTATTTTGGTCTAATACATCATCCATCATGAACCTATGTCAAACCTAGGTTTGCTAGCTTATTCAAACTTAGTTAAGTTTAGTTTATAATTAGATATTAGATTAGATTAGATTAGATATAAAGTGTGTATTTGAATTGAATGAGAGATAGAGATATAAGTAATCATGCCAATATGTGGTGTGTGTGTGTGTGTGTGTATGATGATGACGATGTTGTTATTAAGACATGTATTGTTATCTGTATGTTTGTTTAGTTAGTTGTGTTTTCTGTAACACAAGCCAATCAAGCACAACATTCATTTGCAAACAACAGTGTTGGGTGGGGCACTCAAATAATGGAAGGAAAGAGAGGGACAACAAGTTGGGTGCGTGGGTTGATCAATAATAACAACAATCACGCTGTTGTGTCGCCCCAAACACACACTTGAGCTCTAGATTTTTATTTAAAGTAGTTTGGGTGAGTCTCCTTCCCTTCACATTAATCATCCCACCCTTACAAGTCAGTCATGTGGCGTGACGTGTACATGTGACACCAATCATCCATTGAGATTTAATACTTTATCATCTTCTTGTTTATCTCTTTAAACATTATCTGTCCATTCATCATTTGATTGATGAACAGGTACTTGTTTGTGTATTAGAATTAGAAATGTAACTAGTTATATCCACCCACATTAGACATTAAGTCTAATAATAATAATAATAATAATATTATTATTAAGATGATACATCACCATCTTTGTTTCCTAGGATGTCCGTCAACATGACGTTGCTATGAGTATGCAATTAATATGTGGTTGTTATCTGTTTGTTTGGAACAAGCCATGGAACACTGTGGAATGAATCAAAATAGTTCGTAAAGTTTTGGGAGGAGATGATTCACAAAGGGTCAGCCAGGTCAAGATCGGGGGTCACCCACACACATTCACGACATACTCGCGCGAGTCAGGTCCGACAGTCACCAACCAACACTGCACCACACACTCATTATCTCATTCATTCTCTCTTTCTCTGCTTCTCTATTCCTTCTATTTATAACTAACAAAGTTGGAAACAATCATCTCAGGATCAATCTTCAATCTAATCAATATTATTTATTAGTTGTTAAGATATACTTATTTAAATATATATACCTTTTTGTAATATATACATTCAATCTTTTCAAGTTGTAATATATATATCTCTTCTCACGTTTATCTGTTGTATGAAATCATTGTCATCGTTTGCCACAAGAATCGGTAGATACTACAGTAGCAATATACGTGATATAAACTCACCAAGGAGTTCCAACACCTACAACACCTACAATCAACAACAGCAGTCGCAACAACCTCAACCTCAACCTCAAGCTCAGTCAAAGCAACAACAACAACCAAAGCGTCAACATAACAAACATCAACGTCAACATCAACAACCATTCATATTATCACAAGAGTTACAAGAGAAACTATCTACATTAACATCACCATTGGTAGTTGATTCGGATAATACAAACAATCTAAAGATGGTCATGGAGTCATTATGGAACTGGCGTTGGATCAAGTCGTCCAAGGAGCAAATGGAGCACGCCGAGAAGAGGATACTACAGACAATAGAGACGCCCTATGAGCAACGCATGGTCAAGGTGGGCGACCACGAGATCAACACAATCAAGGTGGGCTCGGGCGATCCACTGGTCCTGGTGCACGGCTATGGCGCCGGCGTGGGCTTCTGGTGTGGCAACATAGACTACCTGGCCCGCCACTACACCGTCTACGCTATCGATCTCGTGGGCTTTGGAAGGAGCTCGCGTCCCGATCCAACCCAATTCAAGACGCCAGACGATGCCGAGAAGCTCTGGGTCGACTCTATCAATCAATGGGCCAGCGAGGTGGGTCTAGACAACTTCCATCTGCTCGGTCATTCACTCGGTGGTTACATTTCCACCTGTTACACTCTACAGCATCCCGAGAGGGTCAAGAGCTTGGTGCTTGCCGATCCATGGGGATTCGCCATTCGTCCCGATGACTTTGAAACAAGAGTACCACTACCGTAAGTCATCCATCGTATCGAGATGATCAATCAATCAATGACACATTTCTAACCATCATATCCACTTTAGATTCAAGATACTTGGAAAGATAGTTAGACAGTCGCCACTGAGTTTGTTGCGCGCTGTTGGTCCATTTGGACCAGACTTGGTGTATCGCTTCAGATCGGACTTGTTGCAAAAGTTCTCTCACCTCTACCCAGAGGACGAGCTAAAGTATAACCAACAGCAGCCGAATCGTGTGGCTGAGTACATATATCACTCCAATGCACAGGCGCCGGCCACCGGCGAGTATCTCTTCAGTCTGCTGTCGCTGCCGTTTGGATGGGCTGCCAACCCGATGCTCACTCGCTCAAAGGCCATCGACCCGTTGGTCGATGTCACTGTGCTGCACGGCTCAAACAGTTGGCTGGACAAGACCATTGGCGATCAGCTGAAACAAGACATGAAGAACATCAAGGACGTCGTAATCATCGAGCGCAGTGGACATCATATATACATTGACAATGCCAATCAATTCCACTCGGCCATTCTCTCTGCCACTGCCAACAACAAACACTCCTCCTCAATGTCTCCAAGTGACAGACGTCAGCAACTATTTGGCTCCGAGCCAGTTTATGCTTAAGGACCAGACAATGGTTCACATACGAATAAACACATTACTAAGCTTCAGAGCGGGTGAGCATGCTTCCTGATCTGTTGGCAACATCTGTATATTTTTCCAACACACTTGATTGTTCCTTTCTTCGACTAAGTTATGAAGCGCCAGTTGCCATTCGTTGGTTATCATTGGTAGATGGGATTCAAGATATCTGTTTGATCACAACCATTCTTTGTTTTCAAAAAAATATCGTATCTTGTTAAAGATTGGTCAAATGTAGCCTCATTTGGGTCCATCCAATCACTCAACTTGAGTGAAAAWTGATGATCATTTATTATAATTCTTATGCCGATTTGGGTCACATGGATTTCGTATCCAACGTGTCATCATGCACACATCCACAATGGGAAAGAATATTCGATCAATACCTCATGATCAATGATCGTCAGACAGTACTCAAGATAATCATGGAGAATGGACTTGGACATCTCCAGCACCCATTATTCATTCGCAAACTCATCCAGTATGGCATATGCTATTTCCAATACTATTCTCAACCTGAGAACCTGAGAATCGGTGAATGGACTTCTGGCATGGCTCAACAAACCATTTAACAATTGTTGATAGAGAAATGCGCTCTCTCTAATGAAAGCCACAGAGAAATTGTAGAATTTGCCTTTAGACAAAACGACATTACCCTGGTGCGTTATTATGTGGACACCTGTCCTTCATTGTTGGCACTATGATGTGCACGTCTCTAGTGATACTCGATTCACTCCTCGATTATTGTTGTAGTTATGGACGAGTCGAGTGTCTTGCAGACATACTTTCAATCATCCCAGAACAATCATTCTAGAAGACTAAACTCTTACATTCTCATTGACATTCATTAATACTGTTTTTGGGAGTATGCATCATCCCTTGGACTCCCTGAGAGGATGTGGAGTGAGTCTCTCTCAAGCATACACCTAATGTACATTAAGTATGAACTGAGCGATGTATACTGCAGTGGAAGCTAGTTCGGCTACCGTTCAATGGTTCTCATCATCAGGAGGAAGTCGTCTTCGTAACTCATCCATCTGCTCTTGTAACTCTCTGATCTGTTGCTGTTGCTCGAGGATCTGTTGCTGTTGCTCGAGGATCTGTTGCTGTTGCTCGAGGATCTGTTGCTGTTGCTGTTGCTGTTGCTCGAGGTTCTGTTCCTGTTGTTGAATGTGTTCTGTTTGGAGATTCGCAATATGATGTGTTGCATTGTCCAGGGCTTGTTGAAGCTGTATATTCACCAGCTGTGTTTGAGCTCTTAATTTATCTTGTAAGTTATTGACCATTGTTTTGTTAAAAGTATAACTTACAAAGAGCCTACAGCCATAGCATTTCTTCTACCTCCTCCTCCTCTATTGTTGGGAAGCATCCTCGATACCTTCTTCAGTCAAGAATAGAATAAACCAATGGCGAGAATAGTATTGGAATGATGATGTAACCCATGTCTCGTGGAATTTGATTGGACAAGTCAATGAATTATGTTTACCATATTTGGTTGTAGACTCTTTTGGTTACCACAGTATCAATGACAACCCCAAATATTTATTTAAATAAATTTATGTCAATCTTATCCGGGGTTCAGAGAACGCCACAAAGTAAAGTTATAACATGCAAGCAACCAGACTCAACAACCTCTACTGTCAAATGTTAATCTCAAACTAACCAAGGAGAACTATTTTCTAGACAAGCAGGATCATTCAAGTATAACTAGCATTCCAGATCCTCGAGCAGGACGAAGGCGAGTGGATAGCCAAGGTATCACAAGGGCCATTGAGATTCGGGGACAATTATATGATTCAGTTGGCAATGACTGTGTCTGGCGGGAAACACAAACCTCTGCCCAAAGACATCATCAACTTGAAGGATTGCAACACACCATCAAAACTCGCTCAGTATACCGGCCTCTTCACATCTTGGACAAAGAATACCTCAGTGTGGATGATGATCCACAATCATACAATATGTCAGGGTTGGTTAATCGTGCTTGGAATTGATGCGAGCAGTCCATCAGCGTTGTACCACACCCACTCAGCTCCAGAGACATCTTCCATCATTGGACAGCATGATTAAAGCATCCCAAAGTAATCAGCATCAGATGATCAGTTATCTATTTGAAGGTGTCGATGCACCATTCAATCGGGCTAATCCTCCAATTAACATGGCCACGTTGATCAACACAATCCGTCATCACTCAATTGACAAAGGACATCTCAACATCATTAATATGTGTGATCGACTGTTGAATAAACTCTAATTTATTAATTTTATTATTGATTGATTGATTGATTGATTGATTGATTGATTGATTGATTGATTGATTGAATTAATATACAAGTGCAGGAACTCATGAAGCATGATCATTCCAATTGATATTGTTGCTTCTTCTGCTCCAAAGTTCCAGCGGCATGTTGGGCAGTCCATTCTCTGGCCTTTTGGTTATAAATATCAATGTTGTCACCGAACTGGGCGGCCTTTGTAGTATCCAAAGCGGAGTCTGGAAGAGGACAGGTCAACAATGACAACAATGCCAACACCAACTTGTGTACCGTCATTGTTTGATTCCATCTTTCGGACATCAATTGAGGTGCACAGTTGGAACCATCGTTACTTATGTTGCAATGGTAGATCTGAGTGACGAATGTTAAAGTAGGTCCAGTGGTTGGATATGCGGTAGGAATCTCGACACTGACGAGGAAGTATCCCTCCTCGTAGGGTGTGCCGGCTGGACCCTTCAACAACACACGCCATTGGCTAATGTCCGACTCCTTGTTGGAAGGCATGAAATTGACCGTGATCTTCTCTCCAAAGCAAACCAAGCCAACACAGACTTTGAGGCCCTTCTGGACATATTTGTCGGTCATAGTTTGGAACAATATCTGAGCCAGCTCGATACGGGACAAGGACTTGTCATTGGCAAAATTTGAACCTCGGAGAGCTGCTGATCTCATTTAGGTACTAAGTACGATGATGTCAATATGTTTGATCACTTTCTGCTTAGGGGTCAACAACATCGTCAGCTTCATAATCATCAGGTGAAGGAGTTGGAGACTTTGGAGGGGCAGAGGCTGGAACTGCTGGGACTGTTGGAACTACAGGGACTGGTGGATCTGCCTGGGCCAGGAGAGGTCTGGGGCAAAGATGGGTTGGAGTTGCAACAGGAGTTACTTCAGGTTGAGATGGAAGTTGAGTTGGAGGTTGAGTTTGAGTTGGAGGATTGATTGGAGTATATTGATTGTCTGTTATAAGTACCAACGTCTCGGTACCTACAAAGTTAAGGCTACCAAGAGTATCTTCACCATACAATGAAGATTTATTAAGTTCCAAAGCATATTCTTTATCTTTAGGTAGTTGTGCTCTCTTTATTATCTCCAATATAAGAGTAGATACCTTCATATCACTATTAAAAGGGATAGAGCATTTCCTATTTATCATTTTTACCTCAACTGTCAAAGACATTGTTAATTTAATATAATATAATATTATTATTATTATAATTATTATTATCCTTGGTTGAATGATGATGTTAATGATAATAATAATTGTGATGGATTATGTTGTTAGGGTTTAATTTATAATTATTATTTCAAACTTGGAAGATTAAGTTCTTGTTTGCCAACCCACACATTATTGAGATGTTGGAGTGGAAGGAATGATTCAGATTGATTACATAATGGGTATGATCAAAATGGAGTCGGACTTCACTAATATATTATGTGTATTATATATTATGTGATACATGTATGAATAGAATTATCTTCGTCATGAGTTGTTCCTTCATTGTTGGTTTAATTCATGAAGTTCCAAGAATTTTAAAACTTGGTGTTGTGGAGGTGTTCGCGCCAATTTCATAACATTAGGATTCAATCAATGGCATTCATTCAATCTTGTAAATAAACATATTCATACATACATATATCATATACATATAATTACCAATGAAGAGATTCACAGCTCAACAGGGTCAAGCAACAAAGAAGCAGAAACCTGCTCCACAAGCACAGCCTGCAAGAGGTGGCGGAGGAGGAGGTGACGATGACGAAGATGACTTTGAGGAAGAGGAGGAGGATGACGACGATGATGACGAGCAGTTTGATGATGTCGATGATGATATCGATGCTGGCGACGATGATATGATGGATGAGGACGCCGACGGTGCTGCTAATAATGATGACGACGACACACTCGGCACACGTCAGCTTATGATGTGGTCACGTAGACCCGTGCCAACGATCATCCCGCACAAGCAACCATTCATCTTCCAGCAACTTGAAGTAGACTATGCTGAAGTGAAGGAGCCACTGCCCAACATGCCCGGTCCCAAGACTGGACCTATCCCCGTCATCCGTCTCTTTGGCTCCACTCGTGAAGGCAACAGTGTACTCTGCAAGGTGCATGGCTTCCTCCCCTACTTCTTCATCGGTTGTCCACCTGGCTTTACACATGCTGACTGCGGTCAATTGCTTCATGATCTGAATGTATGTTCATCATTCAATCATTCACTTCAAGTCAATCAATCGATCAATCACTCACTCATTCATTCAAACTATACTTTTCAAACAATGTAGAAGAAGATGGTGCAAGTGGCATCACAGAGTAATGACTCTCCCAACATTGTGTTGGGCATTGAGTTGGTATTGAAGAAGTCTATCATGGGCTATAACCCTAATCCTCCAACAGAGTTCATCAAGATCACGCTAGCCATGCCAAAGTACGTCACGAGATGTCGTGAGATCCTGGAGAATGGAATCAAGTACCAGTTCTGTCTGCCCAACGTCAACATCAGAGCGTACCAGACCTATGAGTCCAACATCCCATTCGCTCTTCGTTTCCTCATTGACAAGTATGTTTGAGTTTGTGTTTGATCGATCAATATATGTCTGTCGAGCATGTACTAACGCGACCCAATCAATCACTAGGCAAATGCCAGGATGTAGTTGGATTGAGCTCCCCGCTGGATCCTATCACATGTCGGAGAAGCCAGTGTCAACTTGTCAGATTGAGATTGATACCTCGTAAGTGTGATGATCAATGTGACATCCCTCAAATTATGCTAACAACCTCACTCACTTACATTGTAGCCTGGACACATTGATTGCACATCAGATTCAGGATGAGTACGCAGACATTGCACCATTCAGAGTGCTGTCGTATGATATTGAGTGCGCTGGACGTAAGGGATTCTTCCCCGAGCCAAAGAAGGACCCGGTCATTCAGATTGCCAACGTTGTCAAGATTCAAGGAGAGAAGGAGCCATTCATCCGCAACGTGTTCACGCTAAAGGGTTGCTCAAGCATCGTTGGCGCACACGTACTCCCACATGACACTGAGGAGAAGATGCTCAAGGAGTGGAAGAAGTTCGTCACCAAGATCGACCCAGACATCATCATCGGTTACAACATCATGAACTTTGATTTCCCCTATCTCATCGAGCGTGCGCGCACCCTCAAGATCAGCGACTTCCCCTACCTTGGCCGCATCAAGACCACCGCGTCCAAGATCAAGAACTCCACCTTCTCATCCAGCAACCTTGGCACAAGGGAGAGCAAGGAGATATGTATGTATTGTACATGGCGTGTGTGCCCCTGGCCACTCACTGACTCTATCCTCCCCTCCTTCCATCCCATCCCCAGCCATGCCTGGAAGGACACAGTTTGATGTTATGCAGGCTATTCAGAGAGACCACAAGCTGAGTTCTTACTCGCTGAACAATGTGTCGGCGCACTTTTTGAAGGAGCAGAAGGAGGATGTGCACTTCTCCATCATCTCAGACTTGCAGAATGGAACGGATGACGACAGAAGAAGACTGGCCGTCTACTGTCTGAAGGACGCCATGCTGCCACTGAAGCTGCTAGATAAGCTGATGCTGCTGATCAACTACACAGAGATGTCGCGTGTCACTGGTGTGCCACTCAGTTACCTTCTCGGTCGTGGTGAGGGTGTCAAGGTGCTCAGTCAACTGTACCGCAAGGCAATGATTGAGGACCTCATCCTGCCGACGTACCGTGTGTCGTCCAAGGGCGAGAAGTACAAGGGAGCCATCGTCATTGACCCCATCGAAGGCTTCTACGACACGCCCATCTCCACACTGGACTTTACCAGTTTGTACCCGTCCATTATGATTGCCCACAACCTCTGCTACTCCACCCTTCTCACCCAAGACGATGTCAAGCAACTACCCAAGAGCGACTTTACCATCACTCCATCAGGAGGTATGTTCATTCAATCAATCAATCAGACGATCAATCAATCATGCTAACTCCATTCCCTCCAATCAATCAATCAAACAGATGCATTCATGTTGCCATCCAAGAAGAGAGGACTATTGCCACGCATTCTTGAGGATCTGTTGTCGGCGAGAAAGAAGGCAAAGGAGGAGTTAAAGGTCGAGACTGACCCATTCAAGAAGGCTGTGCTCGATGGAAGACAACTGGCACTCAAGATCTCTGCCAACTCTGTGTACGGTTTCACTGGTGCGCGTGTCGGCAAGCTGCCCTGCATTGAAATCTCCAGAAGTGTAACAGCTTTCGGAAGAGAGATGCTTGACACCACGAAGAAGTTTGTCGAGGAGAAGTACACTATTGCCAATGGATTCTCACATGATGCCAAGATCATTTATGGTGACACTGATTCAGTGATGGTCAAGTTTGGCGTGGCCACAGTGGCCGAGGCTATGGAGATGGGCAGACTGGCGGCACGTGAGGTGACCAAGGTGTTCATCCGTCCCATCAACCTGGACTTTGAGAAGGTCTACTACCCATACCTATTGATGAAGAAGAAGAAGTATGCCGGACTGTTCTGGACCAGACCAGACAAGTTTGACAAGATGGATGTCAAGGGTCTAGAGGTATGTTATGGTATATTACACGCACGCAGGCAGGAAGCCAAGCACAGGCAACTAACACAAATGTCGCGCAATCAAACAGAACGTGAGAAGAGATACATGTCCACTGGTGAGGAATGTCGTATCAAGTATATTGAGCATGATCCTGATTGACAAGGACATCAAGAAGGCTGAGGAGTATGTACAAGCACGACCACGACCAAGCCATCCATGGCTCACTCACTCACTAACTCCAATCAATCAATCAAACATAGGTATACAAAGAGTGTGATCAGTGACTTGCTACAGAATAGATTGGATATATCGATGCTGGTCATTACAAAGGCGTTGTCAAAGACAGAGTACAAGGGTAGAGTCAGTCACAATGAGTTGGCACAGAGGATGCGCGCAAGAGACCCTGCCACTGCACCAAACCTTGGCGATCGTGTTCCATACGTCATCACACAGGGCACAAAGGGTGCGCCAATCTACGAGCGTGCAGAGGACCCTCTATACGTACTCGAGAACAACATCCAGCTGGACACCAAGTACTACTGCGAGAAGCAACTCAAGGCCCCGCTAATGCGTATCTTTGAGCCGCTGGTCAACGCCGCATCCATCTTCACGGGCGACCACACCCGAGTGATTGCCACGCAGCCCATGTCCGCGGGCAAGTACTTCTCCAACTTTGAGAAGAAGCGCGTCTGCATGAACTGTCCGAACGAGCTGCTTGCAGAGGAGAAGACCGTCTGCAAGAACTGTCGCCACAAGGAGGCCGAGCTGTACCAGAACTGTTTGGAGAATGTCACCAACCTTGAGACAAGGTTCTCCAACGCCTGGACCCAATGCCAGAGATGCTGTGGCAACCTCCATCAGCCAGTACTGTGTTCCAATCGTGACTGTCCAATCTTTTACATGAGGACCAAAGTCCAAAAGGACCTCAATGAGGCACGCAACAACCTTGAGAAGTTCAATCTGGACTGGTAAGGATGGAGAGGGAGAGAGTAGGATGTGTGTTATAATGTTAACGAACGGATTGATTGATGATCAATAAATAAGATCACCATCACAAACTTACAAAACGAGTGTGTTTGGGCCTGTTTGGACCCAAGTTGATCAATCATTTATTGGTTCTTTGCTGGCATTATCCCACCAGGCTTAACAATAATATAATTATCTAGACACTCTGGATAATTAGCCCAATATTATTATCATAGTTTCGAAATTGATTAGAAAATATCTAATGTTCAATTTGTTGATCTGAATGAAAGTGTCGAAGAAAAGTCTCGAATCGCTTGTTTGAAAAAACACCCTTTCTCCCAAGTCCTTCAACAAAACATCAAACTTTGAATTCTCACTCTCTTTCATTCACTCTCTTATTCATCATTCATTCAAACAAATAATAGATAACTCTACTTACTTCATATATATATACACGCTTAGTCATATATCATAGACACTGTAGAAGAACTTGGACAAGATGTCGATGCTGTCCGAAGCAAACCGTGGAGGACTGCAGCTGTTGGCTGACCTGAACACATTCATCCAACACCTCATCTTGCAACATGAGCAGCAACAACAGCTACAGAATGACGATGGTTCATTGTTGGGCGAGGACAAGAACCCATTCCTACTCAAAGTGTGCTTCTACGTGGAGAGGATTCTATCTGATGGATTGAAGGGTATGTCTCAGTTCGCGCCCGAGAGTACGTAGGTAGTTCGCGTACTAACTATCAATGTATAACAGACGTCAACTTCATTGGACAGACATATATGTGGGACTTCTTACAGAATATATATAAGTGTCTACCCAACACGAAGGATGTGGTCGAGCTGTCGAAGGACTGCTCAAAGTCAGCTTGTGGACGTGGTCGTGTATTCATTCGATTGGCACTAAACGATGGTGCCCTGTCGGGCTACCTATCAGCTCTATACTACAGTCAAGATATCATAAAGTATGTATTTGAATGATTGAATGATGGTGACCAAAGTACTAATCAATCAAACACCGATGATATAGGTCATATTACAAGGATAGTGCATTATTTAGGAATCCAGAGTTCGCATCGACCTTCCTTAGTTTGTTGGACTCATTGTCACATATTAACTTCAATCTAGTTGTAAAGGACAAGGACCTGGATCGACCACAATACTGGGAGGATGTAGCCATGTCACTCTTTGACAACTCAAAGGCGCTTCTTCAAGTGTTACAGAAACAACAGCAACAACAAGAGCAGCAGCAACAGCAACAGAATGCGACAACAACCACAACCTCAACTACCACGACTACAACTACAACACCGACCTTAACAGAGAATGATCACAACGTTGCACCACCTGCTCCAGCCGAGGACGACATTGACTTGAACGATCTTAACGAGATATTGGAAGAGATTACAAAGGAGGATGAGATGATTGAGACGTTGGAGAAGAACTCAAACAGTTGGGACTCGATGATCGAATCGCTGGCAAGGGCATCCAAAGCCGTCCTTCTCGACTATGCAGGCAAGGCTTCGGCCCTCACATCCAGGGATCGCAGTGTGCTCAATCTCTACACCTCGATCGAGCACATCATACTCAATGGAATGAATGGTAAGCTTGGACTTGGCCTCGTGCGTGCAGATTCAATGAACTAACTCAATGGCATGTCATCTATCAGACTCTTCCGACCGATGGGAGCACCTTGAGAGATTGTGCGCAAATGATTTGAGTAGATTGGACGACATTGATCATGTTAACAGGGTGTACGGCACGACGACCAGCAATGTAGATATGAAACTAAAGGCCCTGGTCTACAAGCAATTGAACGACAACACTCTGGTCAAGGCCATCCACAGCGTGTTTGACAATGAGCGCACCATGCCGACGGTGTACTCTGCCTCCAGTGCGCTGTTGCTCAACAAGAAGTACCGACAACTGTTCCAACAGCACCTGGACGACCTGTTGCCCAAGGTCAGCTTCCAGCTTAACTGGCAGGAGGCAGGCATCAGCAACACAGTCACTGTGATCAAGAAGCACACCAAGATCATCAAGAAGAAGGTCAGGAAGATCAAGAACTCGGGCGACACTGCTGTCACACCCTCGTCAAGTCAATCAGCAACGCCATCCATAGCATCGCCACCCTTGACCGTGGACAGCAGCACAGATGAGCTATCTCTGAATCCATCACCGGCAGCGCCATCGTCCACTGTCTCCACGCCACCCGTCACCTCCGCAGCCGCAGCCCTCGATACACTGCCGCATGTTAGCCACACAGTTGTTGATAAGAATGAGCAGCATGAGCAATCAGAGTTGGCCACTGTCATGGCAGGCACACATAGCAATAGCGATGATGAGCAGAGACAACCAACTGCCACGGTAAATGTTGGAGTCGATCACTCTGATCATTCACATTTGTTGGACCATACTCACATGACCAACAACGACGAAAAGACAGCAGCAGTGGAGAGCATATCCTTGGACTCATTCAATCAAACATTGGCCGACCTAATGCGAAGAGAGAATATACAACGACCTGCACCACCAACAATTGAGCGCCAGACACCTGTTGTAGTCACAGTGCCCACCATCGAGCCTCAGCGAGTGACTATTACCAAAGCCATTCCAAGATCTCAACTGCTCTCATCATCCGAGATTGAGCACTACCTCTCCGACCTCGTCGAGAACGAGGAGCAAAGCAAGCAAGACGAGAACTACACTCTGGAGTCATTCACGCCATCGGTCGGACATTCTATCCCAATGCCAATGGCCAATGGAGGCAGGGGAAGAAGTCCCAACAACAACAGGGAGCACAGCAGGGATTCACAGATCTCCAAGTCATTCGTGCCCAATGAGCATCTGGCCGAGGTGCTCAAGATGATCGAAGAGGACAAGGAGAAGAACAACAACAGCATCGAGCGAATGGCCACATCGGTGGACTCTTACACCAACTTCCATTTGATCAGCGATTACTATCGCGAGGAAGATACCAAGAAGCCCAGAGGCAAGAGGAACATCTATGTTGGTGAGGACGACATGATCTTTATCAACCGAGAGTTCAAGAAACCCAGGCTCACATCAGACTATCACACCCAGAACTGTCCAAGCTGTGGATCAAACCTTGAGAAGCGTATGTCCACTTACTCACTCACTCAATCAATCGTCCTCACTAACCTTACCCTCCTACTCCTCTCCAGTTGGATTCTTCAAGACTAGGTTCTGCTACTACACTGGCGAATGGTTCTGCACCAATTGCCATCATAACAGCAAGGTGCCTCTGCCCAATCGCATCCTGTTCCATTGGGACTACAAGATGTACCCAGTGTCCGACTCATCCAAGCAATACCTGGCACAGAACTTCAACAAGCAGTTTGACATCTTCCGCTTCAATCCCAATGTGTACACCGTGTCCAACACGCTGAACAAGGTGCTGGAGCTGCGCAAGAAGCTGCATTTCATCAGTGAGTACATCGAGACCTGTCGTAACAAGTCGGCACTGGAAAGTCTGTCCACACTTAAGCTATATATCATCAATGAGAATGTCCATCTCTACTCGCTGGCCGACCTTGAGCGCTGCAACAATGGTACCCTTGAGCCACAGATCTTTGACGTTCTCGAGAAGTACACTCACCATGTAACAAAGACTTGTTCAGTAAGTCATCATCGATCAATCAATCACTCGCTCGCTCACTCAATCAATCACTAACTCGTTCAACCAACAACACTCATTCAAACTCTTGAAGACTTGTAAAGGAAAAGGATTCATCTGTGAGTTCTGCAACACTGATCAGCTGTTGTTCTCTTGGATGAAGCTGGATATCCAGAATGTGATTCAGTGCAGCAAATGTCAATCGTTGGCACATCGAAAGTGCTATGTTAAGGATAAGTGTCCAAAGTGCATCAGAATCTCCAATGTCAAGTCAAAGCACGCTGCTGATGAGCACAACCATGGTCACTCCTATATAGTTGGCTAATGACATCTCGCTCGGCGAATCCCCCATTGATCAATAGTCAAGTGTCAGCTGCTTGCTTCTCTTGTAATTTAATATATAATTATATATACAACTAGTGAAGTGACTGATTGATGGTTTAGACCATGTTTGGTCTACCCTTTGCCCTCCATTTGCATCCTGACCACCTCTGGCGTCCATCCAACACATATCCCGATAACATAACTGATTAGTATAAGTATCCCGCAATACGACAAGTTATTTATTACTGGATTCGAATAACACACTGGAATGATCAACTGCTGCTGGATATCAGTGTGGACTGGGGGTTGATGATCAAGATGTCACTACGACAACCGTTGATGATCAAAGTGTGAGAGTGTGTGATGCATCAATCGACATCACTATGGATTATAATAATGGGTAGACTAGAGGAGGAGTTCCCCTAAGATTTAAAGGTAGTACTAATACTTTGAAGATATTAAATGTTAAGTGAACTGACTGACTTGACTCGTCGTAATCCTGATCACCTGGATCAATGATCAGACAAGTCAACTATTTAAAGGTCTTGGAAATCAATCATTATAATCATCAAATCAATCCAATCAATATCTCTAATACCTTCAATCAATTAATCAATCATGTTGTACAGTAAGTACTTGATCATCATAAATAATATAAGTTATCCATACTAATATTGCCACCCAACAATATAAAGAATCTCTCGCTTCTCTCTCTGGAATGACCAACAACACTCAGATTTCCAACAATGGACAGATCCAATCCAAGGCCACTACCAGTGTGACACAGTCTTCCAACTCGACTGCCTTGCTCGACATTTGTGGATATGTGAATGTCCTCGGCATTCTTATCATTGATCCACTTATTGTCCATATCTAAGCGGTAATGAATATTACCTCCAACATCACACTAAGTTATATAATTATAAATTTATATATAGGGAGCAATGTAAATAAATACCTATCACCTGATCCATAACAACAATGACAACTATCTATATGACTGGCCAGCGACACATGTGTATATATTTGTTGTAGTTGTTGTTGTAGACTCGACTTGAACAAGTGGAATTGAGTCAGACATGTCGTGTCGCAATATATGAATGAATGATTGCTTGCCTTATCCCTGAATACCTTGCTATAAGATGTTATTGTCGTTCCTATTATAAACACATTTAACAGCTTCCGACTCTGTCTCTTGGGATACATCTCAGCTCAGAACCATGTTTCAAGAAGACATTGCCTGCAGTCTGTGATGGGTTGATACCGATACCATCTATATGTATTCATTTGTGTCAGTATCAGTATCATGTCAACAACCAACGAACAGTGATAGAGTGACTATTGTTACCATTTGTGATGATAGCCGATGTCTGCCAGGGTACATTGAACTGCTCGCATGTGAATCTAAGTACTGCCATGAATGGTGTGCTCTCTGGTACGCTGACACTGTGATCATTTGTTAGTGGACCATTGTGCCAGGCATGATTGATGGCCAGCAGTGAATCAGATACCTACACCTTAAAAGGCAGCTTTGGGTCTGAAGTCAGAGTAATCTTAAATGTGACCTTTGATCTAGAATGTTATGTAGTACTTGTTAGATTGATGAGTCGGGTCGAGTCGTAATGAATGACGATGCCTACGCTGCTGCTGCTGTGCTCATTGTTATATGTTTTATATTGTTATACAAGTTATAGTTAAAGGAAGTGATATTGATTGATTGATCAAATGAAGGGAAAGGGGTGGGAGAGTAGTCTTATCTCTGATGAACAAGTCGAGAAAAAGGGTTGACTTTCGACACGAACCCCAAAGGTCACATGGATAGTGTAAACTAAACTTTATTGGACGCGAGTGTCTATGGATCACACAGTAATCAATATATTGATTACTTGGCAGCAGCCTTGGCTGGCTTGGCAGCAGGCTTGGCCTTTGGCTCCTCCTTCTTTGGAGCACGTGGAGCGAATGGGGTGAGAGCCTCACCAGCCTTGAACTTCTGGGAACCGTCTGGAATGTAGATCATGACAAAGGCATTGTTGGCATCACCGGCCTTGTCACAGATGTAGAGTCCACGACGCTCAAACTGCACCTTGTCGCCAACCTTGAGTGAGAGGATGTTCTCGTCGGAGAAGGCATTCAACTCAAACTTGGTGTTGGGGTTGATAAAGTCCTTGAGCTCATCGGTCTCCTCAAGCTTGGGCTTGGTGATCAAGAAGTCAAAGTCCTGCAACAGAACGGGCACACGCTTGACGGTGGCAGACAACCAGGTAAGCTTCTTCTTGGTGTCCTTGAAGCTGCCAGTTGGGTTGCAGTCGGCGTCGATCGACTCGATTGAGCCGTCTGCGGCCTTGTTGACCTTGCGAACGATGATGTTCATGCCCCATGACATGAGTGTGACCTCCTCACCCTCCTTGAGATCGGCGGCATCGTCGTACTCGAGCAACACAGAGTTGGAGATGGTGACGGTCTTGTTGCCGAGCTCGAGCTTCTTGTCGAACTTGGGCTTGGTCAACTGCTCGGGAGCGGCAGGGCCGTTGGAGAGGCGCACCAGCACGCACTTCTCTGGGAGACAGGTGTATCTGGGCACGTTTGGCTCGATGAACAGCTTGTTGATAGCCCAGAGCTTGCCAATGTCCATCATGGTGTTGACGGCGCTGGCGCCCTGAGACAGGACGAACTCCTTGAGTGCCTCGACGGTGAGACCGCGACGCATGATACCCTGGAGTGTGGGCATACGTGGGTCGTGCCAGCCAGTGACAATTCCCTCATCGACAAAGTACTGCAGCTTACGCTTGGACAGCAGCACGTAGGTGAAGTTGAGACGACTGTACTGTGAGACGAATGGGCGACGCAGTCCGAGGATGTCGCACACGTAGTTGTAGAGGTTGACCTTGTTGATGTACTCGTTGGAGCGGAGAGCGTGGGTGATGCCCTCGATACTGTCCACGATGGGACAGGCAAAGTCGTACAGTGGGTAGGCCTTGTACTTGTCGCCAGTGACGTGATGTGGGGTCATGTTGACACGGTAGAAGGCTGGGTCACGGAAGGCCTTGTCGACGTGGGCCATGTCGATCTTGGCACGCAGAACGCATGTCTGGCCAAAGGTGGTGCCCTTCTTCATCTCCTCGAACCACTCGAGGTTCTTCTCGATCGAGTTGTTTCTGCAGACCGACTCGATCATCTTGTCACGCTGATCGCTGATCTCCTCCTTGGAGGTGTTGTCGACGTAGGCGTTGTTCTCGCGGATCATCTTCTCAGCCATCTGCTCGCACAGGTCAAAGTAGTTGGAGGTGTTGGTCTGGCGACGGTACTTGAGGTCCAGGGTCTTGAGATCCTTGAGGATGTTCTCGACGTACTCCTCCTTCTCCTTGGCGGGGTTGGTGTCGTCGAAACGGATCACCAGCTCGCCCTGGTACTCGGTAGCGTAGTAGTTGTTGAGCACGGCGGCCTTGCAATGGCCAATGTGCATGTATCCAGAAGGCTCGGGTGGGAAACGGGTGACGACCTTGCCCATCTCGAGGCCGGGCAGAGCGAGCTTCTCCATGTTGCCTCTCCATCCCATGACACTCTTCTTTTTGTCGTCCTCAGCGGCAGCAGCGGCAGCACCAGCAGCAGCATTGTTGTTGTTGTTGTTAGTCTCTGGAGCAAACAGCTGCAGGGTCTCCTTGAAGGCTGGAAGGGTGTTGAGGTAGGTGAACCATCTGTTGAAGTGGTAGAGCGAGGGCACCTTGGCCTTGAGCTCAGCGGTCAACTGAACGCGAGCGTACAATGCGATGTCGGCCAGGGTGATTGAGAAGCCAACCAGGAAGGTGCGGAAGATGAAGTGGTCCTGCACCTGCTGGGCGAATGCGTTGACATCCTCGACCTTGAAGTGGGCGATCTTCTCGAGCCACTCGTCGACACGCGAGGCCGACACGGCGTCGCTGCCATAGAGTGTGCAGGCGGGTGCTGCTGCTCTGGCGATGTACTTGGCGACGAGGTAGTTGCCAGTGAAGCAGTCGCTCGACTGAACGACTGTGAGCTCAGGCTTCTCAAGACCCTTGCGCACAATGATCTTGTATCCTGGTACCAACTTTGCTGTTATCAAAGCGATGAATGGGAATGTATTTCCGGTGTGATCATACTTGAGCACACCCTTGTTATCTCCTCCTTTAGTATTAGACATATTATTATCTTATTACTATAAACAATAATTATTGATTGAATGAATGTGTGAAGAAACGATTCATGAAGTTGCTTTTGAAGTCGAGCAATCGAGTGTTTTGCGAAAGAAATAACAAAGAAACTGTGTGAGGGTATGTCTGTGAGGGCAAGAGTGAGGGCGAGGGTAAGGGTAAGGGTTGGTTGGGAGGATAAGTCTGCGAGGGTATGTCCCGGGACAATGAAAATGATTGATCCAAACCAATCCAACAAACTATTGAAAGTATATATATATATATATTGTTGTTCACAAGTTGAATGTAGATTGAGACCTAAGTTTCTCTTTGATTGATTATTTCTTCTTGATTGAATCTCTGGATGCCTTTCTGGACATGTAGTCAATGACACCTGGAATGAATGGCATCAAGTAGTTTCCAACCTTGGCCTTCAATCCAAGTAGTACTTCTCTCTCACCCAAACGCTCGCTCCTATTAGTATTCGCGGTAGTTGTAGAGATAGTCAGTGTCTGCAATCTCCTCCTCATCATTTAACCATAACTAGCTAATACTTACTGAACAATCTTCTCGGCACACTCTTCAGCGGTCATGAAACTGTGTGATTCACGCTCGATTGGCTTGCCGTCAGTTGTGGCCAGCTTGGTGTGGAACTCGGTTTGGACAAAGCCTGGGCAGACGACTGTGACTTGGATGTCAGACACTTCGTTGCGCAGTGAGTTGAGGAAGCCGTGCAGTGCGTGCTTGGAGGCCGAGTAAGAGGTGCGCAGTGGCGTACCAAACTTGCCGGCGAGCGAGCTGACGACGACCAGCGATCCGTGCGACTGGCGCAGGAATGGCAGGGCAAAGGATGTGCAGTACACGGTCGAGAAGAAGTTGATGTTCATGTTGTCGCGGAACACCTGGAAGTTGCCATTCAGCTTCTCAAACTCGATGAGTGAGCCGACACCAGCATTCCAAACACAGATATCAATGCCGCCCCATGCCGACACCACACTGTCAACCATCGTACGGCAATCGCTCTCCACAGTCAAGTCTGCTCGCAAGATCAATATATTCTCCTCTGGTACCTCTGGGCACTTCTTCAATATGTCCTGCTTGACAGACTCCAACTGTTCCAATCTTCTGGCAACGATTGCGACCCTTCATGAATGAATGTTTGGTTGAGTGAGTGAGTGATGTCGGGGAATGAATGAATGATGTCCAATGACATTAATACATACTTGCACTTCATCTGAATGTATTGTAAAGCCAACTGAGCACCGATACCACTGCTGGCACCAGTGACAATTACACGCTTGCCAACATATGAGTTCAATGGTTTGTTGTAGAACCAAGAGTATAACTTGTTGAATATAAACAATATGAATCCAAATGTCAATGCTCCCATTATGTATGTTATAATTATATCTAAGTATCTATGTATGTATAAACTAGTATCTATGTATGTCACTTCACTCTATCACTCTCTCACTGACACTCCTCGATCTCTCTTCGATTACCACAAACACCAACAAACTATTTCAAAACAAATGAATGGAAGTTGGTGATCCGGAAGTGACGATGCTTGAGTCATGAGCATGAACCGATGTTTCACCAGTCGTGGTAACATCCGATCGGAGAGACATTAACTCAGTTGATCAACATATCTTGCCATTTTAGTATAAAGATATAGATAACATGTTTATATGAATCAATCATTCATAGATCAACCTCATGTTACAACATTCCAATCTATCCATTAATCAATCATTCAATCAAACTCCTTCATTCATTCTTTCATACATTCACTCAACATTCATACATGTATAAAGAGATAGTATTAATGGTGATTCATTCCAAGAAGAGATAGATACAGGATTGGTGTCCTCCATTTCTTACCTTTCTTTAGCCAGCGAGCACAGGTTTTGCGAGAATTGGTTTCTCCACAAGTCATTGTGGATCACTTTGTAGTGCCAGCTAGGCATCTTGTCTCAAGAGAGAGAAGTGAAGAGAACAAAGAGAGAGTATGAGTATGAGATAGAGAAGACATACCACCATCAGATGATGAAGTACATTACATAAGAAGCAGCTTGACTTGTAAGATTACATTCAATCAATCATTCAATCGATCAGTCAATAAGACATAATGATGCAATCATTGCCACATACTATATTACAACATATACTGTCAAGCTTGGATAACCTTGATAGGTTATGCTTTACACTAACTTGTAAACTTTGGTTTGAACAAAGGGATCGATACCTTGTATTGCATACATCCGACACATTCCTATTCTCTGCCTACTACTATGCCAACAGTCCACTGTTCAAGTTCAACTCTTACCGAATGGCATTATGTCGCTCACTTGAGAAGCATGGCGGACTCTTTGGTATGTCTCTGGTGGAATCATTCCAATCAATCAACCAAGTCTAACATTATGTCCCCTTTCCACTCCATGATACAGACCAGGAAGTATCAAACCAGCCAATGGACACTCCAATATATGCTTATGTGAACTACTTGTACTTCTCAAACACGTTCAATTACCCGTTGCCAAAGCTTTGGATACCAGGTAGCATCACGACACTTCGTTTCGGCTTCTCATTCAATCATCCATTGTTAGAGGATACGCTTCCATTTGGCCTCCGCACACTGGCCTTTGGGAACTCATTCAATCAACGTATCATCCCAGGCACGCTTCCGACCAGTCTCCGCAAGCTCGCCTTTGGTAACGACTTTAACAAGCCATTAGAGTTTGGCGCCATCCCCAACGGCGTGGAAACCATCTCCTTTGGCAATTGTTACGACGAACCACTTGTGGCTGGCACACTGCCCTCCTCCACTAAGCATCTGTGCTTTGGCAACAACTTTGATCAGGATGTCTTGCCTAGCGTGCTGCCAAAGTCCATCGTGTCACTCAAGTTTGGATACTACTTCAATCGCTCGCTGTCTGGTGGCGTTCTCCCACCTCAACTCAAGTCTCTGCGTGTGGACCGCGGCTTCAAAAAGGAATTAATGCAGAAGGACTTACCAGAGAGCATCACCAAGCTTCGCTACGTCTATCACAAGAACAGTCTGTCATTGCCCAAGTGCACCACCAATCTGGTGATCGACGAGGTCAATGATCCGTTGGAGCCAGGTACTGTCCCGCCCAGTGTCACCAAGCTGGAGTTCTCACATGACTACAATCATGGCATTGAAGTTGGCGTCATCCCACCATCAGTAACCTCTCTCAAGGTTGGCATTGTGCTGGCTCAAAAGTTGAAGCCCAACATGATACCAATGACCGTCACGAGCATCGACATGGGTCTACTGTACAATAGACAATTGGAGCCTGGCCTCCTGCCCAAGTCCGTCACCACGCTGAGACTGGGCTCTACGTTCAGACACCGCCTTGACCCCAAGTTGTTGCCGCGTCTGACCCGACTGGAGGTGCCATCACACTACAAGCATCCTATACCAAACACTGTAACATCGCTACGTCTACACAATGGAGTGTACTACAACTTTAGCCAGGATCAGTTTGATCTGGAGGCGTTGCCCTCCACGACCACCGTCGCACTTGACATTCCAACATTGGAGAGGATCAACATTCGTCTAATGGATGATCGTTACTCCATATTCCTATCTGATCACTACTTTGTCGGAGGATTCTTCAGCAATCAATCAATGAACGATGGTTCATTCCTCCAGCAGCCCAAGAACACATTGACGAACAATGTTGTCGCTGCCAGCCAAGAGAATATCCCTGATGAATGATTGATTGAATAAAGTATGACTATGAGTGAATGAATAAAGTTAATTGTTGTATATTCATCAATTATATGATTGATAACACGTTGTAAACATTAGATTGAAGATTGATTGATGTTCATCAGTCGATGTTTAGTGAGGTTTGTAAGTTGATTGATGAAAATTGAACAGATAAATAACCATAAATTGAATTGCAGTTCACAGTGATAAAGTGGTCGATTTGAACAATGTGCTAATTCAGTTCTTGCGCATGAGACTATACAGTAGGGCGTGACCGATAAGGGATCCACTGTCTTTGCTTTTTGCAAACTTTTCCATAACTCACCTGACGACATTGTCGGCAGGTAATTTTTGTTGTTTTCCACACAAACACTACCTAAAACATAAAGATAAACTTCAATCAACCTAAAATGGAATAGTTCCATATCCACTACATTCATATCCCAGGTGTACAGATGAAATCTACTCAAAGTAGTTATTAAGATTACTTGAAAGTAGAATGGTTTATTGTTGTTGTTGGACATCACGCACTAGACACCATGCATGTTTGTTGCCAAGAGGGCCATTAGACCAGTTTCCTTTGTAGAGGACTCGGTTTGTTCCGCTAAAGTAGAGAGTGGTGGAGATTGGAGGTGTTTGGTTGAATGGATGGGACGAGCGGATATTTGTTGCCAGGTCGAGCTCATCGAAGGTTTGATCAGTGAAGAAGTACAGCCTTCCTTTACCATCGTAGCTTGTTGACTTTACTGTCGGATCAGTACTAGCAAAAATATTGCCAGACAATGTACCATCACATTTGATATATTTAATCGGCCCTGTGACAAAAAGTACAATGAGTTGCGAATTGTAGTAGTAAACTGACTGTGGTATACTGTTGCCAAGATCAAATGTTGCGATCACAGTGATCTCCAGGGTATCAATGTTGATCTTAGACAGAGTGCTGTTGTAATTGTTTTGCCTTGAGCCAAGCAAATAGATGACCTGGTCGCCGTCATAGGATGCAAACAGTTTGTCACATGAGCTTACTCCGGAATCAGATATCTGATAGCTAGTATACTGTTGAGATGCAAAGGAGTATCTAGTTAATGAGCAGTGAAAATACTTCTTAGGCTCATTGCTAAAGAGATAGAGGTGACCTTTGGCATAGACAGCAGACGTCTTGCACCTTGGTACCCTGTTTTGATCATTCATCCGATTGCTCACGGATGTGCTTGGATCAAACAAAGAACAGTCCACTCCAAGGGTGAATATCAAGTCCTTTCCAAGTCTCGAGTCCACATTGGGCGGTCCACATAATGTGTATACAGTTTGGAGCTGTCTCTTCAATGACACGATTTGATCCTCATTGAACTTGATACGAATGGGCTGAGTGACCTTATATTCCACCGAGCTTCGTTCCACACTCTGATTGACCAATGAAAGAAGATGATGATCGGTGCCACTTGAGTCGATGTCTTTGTTTGATTCCGAGCACATCTTGTTGATGAATTGATCAACTGTTGTGCATGATTGAATGATCCCGACCATCGAATTGTCTGAGTGCTCATCATCCTTGTTGTTGTTGTTGACTTTTGTTGGGAGATTGAACAGTGCACTGATATCTCTGATCTCATCGATGATGTTGTCGATTGATGATTGAGTCTTATCAATCTGTTGAGTGACTGGTGATACCAACTTGTGTTCTTCAATGATGAGGAGCTCGTGTAACTCTTTGAAGTGATCATTGATCTGTTTACGAGTGTCATCCAATGACTTGAATATTGCTGCCTGTTCTCGTACTGTTGTCCACAATGATTGCAATCTCTTATCAAACCTGTTATTGCACTTCTTCTCATTGACAAACTGTTTGATCACATCTACACAGTCCAACTCATGTTTCTGATGATCGATCACCGCACAACTCGAACAAATCAATTGTTTACAATCGATACACAGCATGTACAATGTCTTGTTGTGCATCTGGCATCTTGTCATATCATCAACATTGTCGTTGTTGTTGAGTGTAGTGCTGATAGTCTGGACTGCCACTGAATGATTGATTGAGGTACTCTGGCGACTGTTGAGGATGCTGTCCATGTTTGTATCTTATGAATGAAAGAGTGAATGTTTGATTGGTTGTGAAATTTGGAAGTTTATTGAATTGTTTTCTTTATTGTTGGAGATCTCTAACAAGGCACCATGCGAGTTGGTTGTCTTGAGGGCCTTGGGACCATTTTCCATTGTAGAGGATACGATTTGGTTCGCTAAAGTAGAGAATAGTGGATAATGGAGGTTGGTTGTGTGGATGGGACATGCGAAAGTATGTTGACAGGTCGAACACATCCAATCCTTGATCTGTGAAGAAGTATAGCTTTCCTTGACCATCGTGGCATGTTGACTTGATTGTCACGTCAGTATTAATAAATAAATTGCCAGTTATTGAACCATCACAATTGATATATCTAATTGGCCCTGTGGAATTGAGGACAAAGAGTTGAGATTTGAGGTAGTACATTGACTGTGGGATGATGTTGCCAAGGGCAACATCTGCAATAAAAGTGATCACCAGTGTATCGATGTTGAACTTGACCATAGAACTGTTGCGGTTGTTTTTCCTTGAGCCAAGTAAATAGATGGTCTGGTCGCCATCATAGCAGGCAAACAGTTTTACACATGAGCTAACTCCCAGATCTATTACCTGATGGCTTGTAAACTGTTGTGATGCAAATGAGTATCTAATAAATGAACAGTATTGATTCTTTGGCGGCTCATTGCTAAAGAGATAGATGTGACCTTTGGCATAGACAGCAGACATCTGGCCCCTAGGTACCCTGTTTTGATCATCCACCAGATGGTTCACTGATGTGCTTGGATCAAACAACGAGCAGTCCACTCCAAGGGTGAATATCAAGTCCTTTCCAAGTCTCGAGTCCACATTGTACGGTCCGAATAAAGTGTACATAGATTTGAGTTGTCTCATGAATGACGCGATTTGCACCTCTTTGAACTTGATTCCGATGGGTTGAGCGATTTCATACTCCAACAAGCTTCGTTCCACACTCTGATTGACCAATGTGAGTAGTTGATGATCGGTGCCACTTGAGTCGATGTCCTTCTTATTTGATTCCGAGCATGTCTTGTTGATGAATTGATCAATTGTTGTGCATGATTGAATGATCCCGACCATAGAGTTGTCTGAGTGCTCATCATCAACGTTCTGCTTGATGTTGATGTTGTTGACATTGGTTGAGAGATTGAACAGAGTGCTGATATCTCTGATCTCATCGATGATGTTGTCGATTGATGATTGAGTCTCGTCCATCAGTTCGTTAACGGGTGATACCAACTTGTGTTCTTCAATCACGAGGAACTCGTGTAGTTCTTTGAAGTGATCATTGATCTGTTTACGAGTGTCACTCAATGACTTGTAAGTTGCTACATGTTCTTGCACAGTTTTCCACAATGATTGTAACCTCTTATCAAACCTGTTATTACACTTCTTATCTTTGACAAACTGTTTTATCACATCGACACAGTCCATCTCGTGCTTCTGATGATCGATCACTAAACAACTTGAGCAAATCAATTGTTTACAATCGATACACAGCATGCACAATGACTTGTTATGCTTCTGGCATCTTGTAACATCATTGTTGTTGTTGTTGTCATTGATGCTGTCCATCTTTGTATCTGATGTGTTTGATGGAGGTTGATAAATGATTGAATGAATGATAGTTTTGAAATTGAAGTTTATTTTGGATGGGAGTTGAGGCATTGATCGGAATAGATCCAGTAAGTCGAGGATGATTCATACTTCATGTCGCACGATGCATGATCCATATGGAATGTCACCAGTGACAACGCTATATTTTCCATCGATTCAAACACGATCATAATTATCACACACATCTACACAGTCCAACCCATGTTTCTGATGATCGATCACTGCACAACTTGAACAAATCAACTGTTTACAATCGATACACAACATCTCCATTGACTTGCCATATCTTTGGCATCTTGTTATAGCAATGATATTGTTGCTGTCCATTGTTTGTTATCTGTATGAATGAATGAAATGAAAGTGATGTTCAAGGATTTATTGATTATTTTGGGATGGACACCAGATATGAACCATAATTGTTTCCAACTCCATTGACGATGTATTTGCCATTGACCAAAATACGGTTGTGCGACTTAAAGTACAGAATGGTATCAAGCATAGGCAGGTTATAGGCATCTGGATAATGCTGGATGATACCAGTATTCAAGTTGAGCTCACACATGCTTTCATCTTCCTTGAAGAACAGTCTGCCCTTGCCATCATGGCACGATGACCGGCCGGTGATTCGTCGATCTAACTTGAATGACTGGCTGGAAGTGCCATAGACTGGGTTGATCGTCCACAAATGAGGGTTGTTTGAAATGACAGCAAAGATCTGTTCGTTGAAGTAGTGCAACGCTACTGGTTGTTCATAATTGTAGAAGGCAGATTGTCCAACCTTGGTGGCTTCGAGTGTATCTATGTCGATTCGGATTAAATCAGAGCTCTGATGCTGGAGTTGACGGAAATTCCTAATCATATCTTTGCCAAGCACATAGATGCTCTTGCTGCCATCATAGCATGCCACCATACTGCTAGGTTCCATTGTACACTGTATGTGGTGCATGGTCCATAGCTGAGTTTCAAAGGAGTAGCGCATCAATTGTATATTTGCATTATTGTTACCAGGTTGGTAAAAATTTATAAATTGATCTGCATTATTGTTACCAAGTTGAACAAAGAGATGAAGATGACCTCTGGCATAAATCGCATAAAATATTTTGTGCAACTTCCTAATGTTATTGATGACAGGAATCTGTTGAACAGTGCCTGATCTTGGGTCAAACAACTTCATTTCTGCCTGACGATTGATGGTGAATATGAACTCATTTCCACCTGTTGTTGTCTGTTGGCCAGCCAATCCAGATAGTGCAGTATGTGATGAAGCGACCAATGTGTATGTTGATTGAATCTGTTTTTTGATTGTCACCAGAAGTTTGTTATCGAATGTCACCTTAACTGGTTGAGTTGCCTCATATTCTACCGTCTTGATTCGCTCAACACCTTGATTGACAAGTGTGAGTAGTTGATGATCGGAACAGTCCACAATCTCCTTTGTTGATGCCGGGTATGTCTTATTGATGAAATGGCCAACTGTTGTACATGATTGAATGCTCTCCACCTTTGAGTTGTCCGAGTGCTCATCCTGAATGTGATTATTATTGTTGATGATGACGTTTGTTGAGAGATTGAAGAGAGTACTGATGTCTCTGATCTCATCGATGATGTTGTTGATTGATGATTGAGTCTCATCCATCTGTTTGTCAACTGGTGACATCAACTTATGCTCCTCAATGACGAGGAACTGGTGTAACTCTTCGAAGTAGTCATGTACTTGTTTACGAGTGTCATTCAATGACTTGTATGTTGCTGCCTGTTCTTTTACAGTTGTCCACAATGATTGCAACCTCTTATCAAAAATATCATTGCATTTCTTCTCATTGATCAACTCTTTGATCACATCTACACAGTCCAACTCATGTTTCTTGTGATCTATTACTGCACAACTTGAACAAACAAGTTGCTTGCAATCGACACACAACATCTCCAATGTCTTGTTGTGTCTTTGACATCTTGTCACATCATTGTAGTTGTCCATGTATGTTTATAAGTATTGTTATCTGTATGAATGAAATAAAAAGAAATGAAAATGATCTGATCAAGATAAAGATTTTTTGAAAAATTCAAGGGAACCAAGCAAAGCAAAAACCAGGAGCTAAAAAGGGTGTGATTCCTGTGTACCTCCAAGACTGACCCTTCCTGTTTTCATTTTAGCCAAACGTACCTCCTGGTGTTCGCTTTGGACATGCAACAATACCTGTCATTGATTATTTTGAGATGTCCACCAAACATGAGCCACATTGATTGTCTTCATTGCATTTGATGAATTTGCCATCGATCAGAATATCGTTGTTGTTAAAGTAGAGCATGGTATCTAACTTGGCAGGGGAAAAATCGGGTTGGAACAAGGTCGTGCCTGTTGTCAAACTGAGCTCAAACATGCGAGCTGTGTCCTTGAAGTAAAGTTTACCCTTGCCATCATGGCACGATAGTCGGTTGGAGATTCGTGGATCCATCGAGAATGACTGGCTGACATAGCCATTGAATGGGTTTATCGTCCACAAGCAAGTGTTGTTGTTGGGCCCATTGTCAGGAAGGACAGCAAAGATCTGTGTGTTGAAGTAGTGCAAGGATATAGGAAAGGAATCGTTTTGGAAGAGAGGTTCTCCAATCTTGGTGACTTTGAGTGTATCAATGTCGATTCGTATTAATTCATTGCGCTGGTGTGGATCGAAAATGCTTTGCAAGGCTTTGCCAAGAACATAGATGGACTTATTGCCATCATAACATGCCAATATACCCTCAGAGCGCATTCTATGTGTGTCAAGACTGGTCCATTGTTGTGTTTCAAAGGAGTAGCGCATCAATTGTTCATTGTTATCAGTTTGGTATTTTCCAAAGAGATAGAGGTGACCTCTGGCGTATAGTGCATAACTCTTGTAGCTAAACAAGTTATTAAAGACAGGAATCCTTTGGACAGTGCCTGATCTTGGGTCAAACAACTTCATGTCTCCCTGGCCACTGATGGTGAATATCATCTCACTTCCAACCAATCCAGCCGATGTCTTTGAAGACGCGTATGTGGAAGTGTATGTTGATCGAAGTTGTTGCTTGATTTCCACCAGTCGGTTGTTATCGAATGTCACCTTGACAGGTTGTGTTGCTGCATAGTCATCAGTTTTGATTCGCTCGACTCCTTGATTGACAAGTGTGAGGAGTTGGTGATCGTCTACCATGTCCCTGATTGTTGCTGGGCATGTCTTGTTGATGAATTCCTCTAACGTTGTACATGATTGAATGCTCTCTACCTTTGAATTTGAGTTATCTGGTTTGTCAGAGTGCTCATCAACATGCATGTCGTTGTTATGATTGTCGTTGTCGATGCTGGCGTTGGTTGAGAGATTGAAGAGAGTACTAATGTCTCTGATCTCGTCGATGATGTTGTTGATTGATGATTGAGTCTCATCTATTTGCTTGTTAACTGGTGACATCAACTTGTGCTCCTCAATGACGAGGAACTCATGTAGTTCTTTGAAGTAGTCATGTATTTGTTTACGAGTGTCACTCAATGACTTGTATATTGCTGCATGTTCTTGTACAGATGTCCACAATGATTGTAGCCTCTTATCAAACATATCATTACACTTCTTCTCAGTGATCAACTCTTTGATCACATCTACAAAGTCCAACTCATGTTTCTTGTGATCGATCACTACACAACTCGAACAAACAAGTTGTTGACAATCGATACACAACATCTCCAGTATCTTGCCGTGTCTTTGACATCTTGTCATATCATCGTTATTCATATTTATTTATATTTATGTATTATCTCTATGTTTCAATGAATGATTGCATTGCAATTGTCGACTTTATATTTATTCGATGTTTGAACCACCAATCAAACATGATATGTTGTCGTGATCAACTGGCCTGTCTGGACATCTGACCAATTTACCATTCAGCAGTACACTGTTGATGTTAATAAAGTAAAGCATCGTGTCCAGTTGTGGAAGTTGGTTGAGTGGATGCGACCGGAAGACTCTGGTATCTAGGTTACATTGAACAATGCCAGATTGGAGGTTGTAGAAGTATATCTTTCCTTTGCCATCGTAAGAAGATGAATGTCGTTCGATTGGTACGTCATTGTCCACGAGCCTAGTCTCTCCTTGATTTTTGCAATTGATCGACCACAGAAAATTCTGGCGAGTGGCATGACAATGAGTGATGGCATAGAGGTAGTCGTTGTAATAATACAATGACTCGATACGATGTCTCTCAAAGCCTGATGTAAACTTCCTCTGGACGACATCCAGGTGCAATGTGTCAATGTTCAATGCTACCAATGAATTTCTCAATGAGTATTTTCCAATCAAGTAGATTGTGGAGTTGCCATCGTAACATGCCATAGGGTATCCACCCAATACTAGAATTGAATCCAATTGATGTGTTGTCCATAGCTGAGTGGCCATTGAGTACCTGAATATGGAGCACACTGTCGACTGTGGGACTTGACCAAAGAAGTATATGTGATCTTTGGCGTAGACGGCACATTTCGTTACGTTGTTCATTAAAACGCCATTATTATTAATCTCTCGTGATGCACCTGTTCTTGGGTCGAACAGTGTACTAACGGTTGGACCGTATGAGAACACCGAACCACCTCCAACTCTATGTTCTTTGAGTTGTCCTTCATTGGGATCGGTGACGTTGCTCAATGAGTATGCCAACTGAACCTGCTTCTTGATTAAGTTGAGGCCATCAGCTTGTAAAGTGACCTTTAAGAATCTATCAATGACTGGACACTCTGGCATACTCTCAATTCGAGCCACGCTCTCAATGAGTTGATTGAGTAGTTGATGGTCTGAGCAAGTTACAATATCCTTGGATGTCAATGCAGTGCATGTCTTGTCAATGTACTCCCTCACCGAAGTACATGATTGAATGATCGTGACATCTTGCTCTGCCTCCTCATTGTTATTTTTGTCGTTGCTGTTGGCATTTGTTGAGAGATTGAACAGTGCACTGATATCTCTAATCTCATCGATGATGTTGTCGATTGATGATTGAGTCTCATTTATCTGTTGAGTGATGGGTGATACCAACTTGTGTTCCTCAATGATGAGGAACTCGTGTAACTCTTTGAAGTGATCATTGATCTGTTTACGAGTGTCATTCAATGACTTGTATGTTGCTGCCTGCTCTTGTACTGATGTCCACAGTAATTGTAATCTCTTATCAAACATATCATTACACTTCTTCTCATTGATCAACTCTTTGATCACATCTACACAGTCCAAATCATGTTTCTTGTGATCGATCACAGCACAACTTGAACAAACAAGTTGTTTGCAATCGATACAAAGCATGTACAATGTCTTGCCGTGTCTTTGACATCTTGTCACATTATCATCATTATTATTGTTGGTGTTGTTGTTGTCCATGTATATTTGTATTCTTATCTGTTTGAATGAAGTGAAAGTGATTGACAACTCAATCAAATCAATGATTTATTTATTGATGTTTGGTAACCAAACATGAACCATAATAATTGTCTTCAATTCTATACCATTTGCCATCTACCAGAGCAACATTGTCTGGGCTAAAGTATAGCATGGTATCCAGCTTTGGTGGATTGTGTTCACCGCCAACTTTTTGACTGATAACTGTTGTCAAGTTGAGTTCAAACAGGACAGATCCACTGTAAAAGTACAGCCTGCCCTTGCCATCATGGCACGATGGATCGGCGGCATTGATCCGTGCAGCCAATGAGAATGACTGGCTGGCATAGGCATTGAATGGGTTGATCGTCCACAAATGTGTGTGTTTGGGAATGACAGCAAAGATCTGTGTGTTGAAGTAGTGCAATTCTACTGGATAGTTATCATTGTAGAAGTTAGGTTGACCAACCTTGGTGACTTCGAGTGTATCAATGTCGATTTGTATTAAATCATTGTGATGGTATGGATCGAAGATGGTTGGCACGGATTTGCCAAGCACATAAATGGTCTTATTGCCATCATAGCAAGCCTTCATACTGCTCGGGCTCATTGAATAAAGTTTATCGTGCATGGTCCACTGTTGAGTTTCAAAGGAGTAGCGCATCAATTCTAAACTATTGCCAACAAAATGGGATTGACTAAAGAGATAAAGATGACCTCTGGCGTGAGTCACATAAAATTTTCCAAAATTCCTAGGTAAAAGGACATTAATGTTATTGCCAGGAATCTGATGGCCAGCTTCTGATCTTGGGTCAAACAACTTCATTTCTCCCCGACAATTGATGGTGAATATCATCTCATTGCCATATGTTGTTGTCTGTTGTCCAACCAATCTCGTTGATGCAGATGGTGGAGTGACCAATGTGTATGTTGATTGAATCTGTTGTTTGATTTTCACCAGGCGGTTATTATCGAATGTCACCTTGACAGGTTGAGTTGCCTCATGCTCTGCCGTCTTGATTCGTTCGACTCCCTGCTTGACAAGTGTGAGGAGATGGTGATCGGAACAGTCCACCGAGCCCCTGTTAGGTGCTGAGCATGTCTTGTTGATGAATTGATCAACTGTTGTGCATGATTGAATGCTCTCCACCTTTGAGTTTGAGTTATCTGGTTGCTCGTCATTTTGAATATCGTTATTGTTGTTGTTGATGTTGGCATTTGTTGAGAGATTGAAGAGAGTACTGATATCTCTGATCTCATCGATGATGTTGTTGATTGATGATTGAGTCTCATCCATCTGTTTGTCAACTGGTGACATCAACTTGTGTTCTTCAATGACAAGGAAATCGTGTAGATCTTTGAAGTAGTCATGTACTTGTTTACGAGTGTCATTCAATAACTTGTATGTTGCTGCCTGTTCCTGCACAGTTGTCCACAATGATTGTAATCTCTTATCAAACATATCATTGCACTTCTTCTCGTTGATCAACTCTTTGATCACATCGATACAGTCCAAATCATGTTTCTTGTGATCTATTACTGAACAACTTGAACATACAAGTTGTTTACAGTCGATACAAAGCATCTCCAATGTCTTGTTGTGTCTTTTACATCTTGTCATATCATCTTTATTCATATTTAATTGTTATTTATGTTATTATTACAGTATCTCTATGTTTGAAAGAAGAATGATTTAATGATACAACGAGTGCACTTTGCTTTTGTAGGTTTTTTGAACGGCATTATCACAAGCCGATTGGAACACGAACCAAACAAGATAGGTGGTCGTGATCGACTTGCCTGTCTGGACATCTGACCAACGCACCATTCAGTAGCACATTGTTGATGTTACTAAAGTAAAGCATCGTGTCAAGTTGTAGAAGTTGGTAGTGTGGATATATCTGGTTGTCTTGGGTACCAAGGTTGTACTCAATAATGCCAGTCTGGTCGTAGAAGTACATCTTGCCGTTGCCATCGTAGGCAGCTGAGTTTTGTTGGACCCCTACGTCAAATTCCATGGATCTAGTATCTCCACGATTGTTGCAATTGATTGACCACAGTCTCCTTTTGAACGTGACTTTGTTGGTAGTTAGGGCATAGAGGTAGTAGTTGTAATAATACAATGACTCGATACGATTCAAGTCAAAGATTGATGTAAACTTCCTCTGGACAACATCCGGTTGCAGAGTGTCAATGTTCAATACCAACAATGCATAGCCTATTGTTACCGCTCCATTCTTGAATGATCCTACCAGGTAGATTGTGGAATCGCCATCGAAACACGCCTTTGGGGTTTCTTTTCCTGCGACTTGTATTTCACCAACTTGTTGAGTTGTCCATTGTCGAGTGGCTATTGAGAACCTGTGCAAGACACATTGTGTCGAGAGTATTGACATGCCAAAGATGTAGATGTGGCCTTTGGCATAGACGGCACATTTCCTACTAATCGCTATTTGGTTAACATTAATAAACTCCCTTGATACACCTGTTCTTGGGTCGAATAGAGCACAAATGGACGGGCTGTACAAGAACACCAAGTCAGCCTCAACTCTTGGTTGCTCCTTGGGTTGTCCATCAACTTTGCGATTGATCGTCTTCTTTGCAACAACATCGGCATTGATCAACGTGTATGTTAACTGAAGTTGTCTCCTGATTGTGTTGAGGCCATCGGCTTGTAGTTTGACCTTCACGACCTGATCAATGACTGGGCACTCTGGCATACACTTGATTCGTTGAACACCCTCATTGAGTTGGTTGAGTAGTTGATAGTCTGAACATGTCACCATATCCTTGGTCGATGGAGTACACGTCTTGTCAATGTACTCCTTCACAGTAGTACATGATTGAATGATCGTGACGTCTTGCTCTGCCTTGTGATCGTCATTATCTGCCTCCTGGTTGTTGTTGTTGACTTGTGTTGAGAGATTGAACAGTTCACTGATGTCACCTATCTCATCAACCATGTTGTTGATGGAGACTTGAGCCTCATCCATCTGTTGAGTGACTGGTGACACCAACTTGTGCTCCTCAACGACCAGCAACTCGTGTAGCTCTTTGAAGTAATCATGTACTAGTTTACGAGTGTCACTCAATGACTTGTAGGTTGTAGCCTGCTTCTGAACTGCTGTCCACAATGACTGTAACCTCTTATCAAACATATCATTACACTTCTTCTCTGTTATCAATGACTTTACTACATCTGCACATGCCATCTCATGCTTATTGTGATCGGTCACCAAACATGTAAGACATATCAATCTCTGACAATCGATACACAGCAAGTCTAATGACTTCCCGTGCATCTGACACTGTACTACTATCATATCATTGTCGTTGTCGTCCATCTTTGTTTGATTGATTGATTATGTATCTGTTTGTTATGGATGAACAAGTGAATGGATTAATCGAGTCAGTTGGCGAAAACACTTTACTTTATTCGATTGGTTGATTGATCGATCAATCAATCGTGACGGAACACACATGATCCTAAACGAACATCTTCTTTGCATTGGATCCATTGTCCATTTAGTAGTACATAGTTGGGATTGTTGAAGTATAACATCTTGTCCAACACTGGTGGGTTGTCACGTAGATAGGTCTGTTTGGTCATAGTTGCCAGGCTGACCTCAATCAGAGACAGGTCGGTGTAGAAGTATATCTTGCCATTGTCGTCATATGATGAGGACTTTGGTTGATGTCCTACATCATTGAACACGGTGCTCACATGGCCGTTGTAGCAACTGATTGCCTGAACCTGGATGTTTTGATGGTTGGTGCCATAGATATGATTATTGAAGAAGTACAATGCCCTTGGGAAAAGCTGGCCAAAGTTCGGATTGCCAACAAGAGCGAACTCGAGTGTTTGGACGTTGAGACGCACAACACTTCCATCGCTATACTGTTGGGCACCCTTGCCAACCAGGTAGATGTAGGTGTAGCCATCGAAGCAAGCGGTGAGATTGGAGTCACCAATAATGTCGATCCTGTTGCTAATGATATGATTGGTCCATTGTTGAGTCTCAAAGGAGTAGCGGGCAAAAGATTTGTTATGACGTGCAACACCTCCATAGCCATAGTATGTGCCAAAGAGATATAAGTGGCCTTTGGCAAAGACGGGCACAGTATATACCTTGCACAGCTGGTTGCCTCCCTCCACTTCTTGGGTCTTGTCTGACCAAGGCAGGTAGAACAGGCCCGTCGTATGCCCAACGCAGAACACAATCTCCTTTCCGTTGATACCCTTCATGGGATCGACGAGTGAATACGACGATTGAAGCTGCTTCTTGGCGGACACAAGACGATCATCGTAGAACATGGCCTGGACTGGCTGAGTGACATCGTATCCCAACTCACTCCTTTGAACTGTTTGATTGACCAATGACAGCAGTTGATAGTCGTCGACCTTGTCCTTAGGTCTGCCACGTGCCGCAGCTAGACTGCAAGCCGAGTTGATGTACTCCTCCACAGATTTACATGATTGGATATGATCAATGTTGACTGGTACACTCTCCTTGTCATCGTCGTCGTTATAGGTGTCATCGGCTTGCCCATCCTTCATGAAGTCATCTCCTTCACCATCCGCTTCCACATCCGCATCCACGTCAGCATTGTTTGTTGGGAGGTTGAACAGAGTGCTGATGCCTCTGATCTCGCCAACAATGTTGTTGATCGATGATTGAGTGTCATTCATTTGTTGCTTGACGGGCGACGCTAGCTTATGCTCCTCCAMMACGAGGAACTCGTGTAGTCCCTCAAAGTATGATTGATTTGAGTGTAGGTATCATTCAATGACTTGTAAGCAGTTGCCTGTTGCTGTACTGTTGTCCACAATGATTGTAGTCTCTTGTCAAACCTATCGTTGCACTTCTTCTTTGTGATCAATCCTTGATCACATCTACACAGTCCATCTCATGCTTATTATGCTCTACTACCAAACAACTTGAACAACATAACTTCTTACAATCTATACACAACAAGTCCAATGTCTTGCCATGTGATCTACACTTTGTATGTTCAACATTGTCATCATCCATTACTATTATTAATATATTATTTGTTTGTATACAAAGAAAATATTCAAGTGTTTTGTAAAGTTTAAAATTGCCTGATTTTGATCATTTAATTCAATTGAATTGTGTTTATTAAATTAATTGATTATAATAAGATATTGTAGTTCGAGGGTCTTCTTGATATCCATAAGGATAATAAATAATCTCCATAGGCTTGTGAGAAGTTGAGCATTTACCTTGTGAACCAGAAGGAACTAATCCTGAAACTACAATGCAGTTTGTTGATGAAACCTAAGTAGATGGTTTGATTATAGACGATAGGGCACCTATTTTTTATACAAACACAAAATTAATATAATATATTGGTCGAATCATTCAAGTTTGTAATTTTTGTAATATTGTATACAATATTACAACTCTGGACGGATTTGTGATAATTTAAATGTTTCCGGAATAACTCGTTAATAATTGTCCATAAAAGATAGAATAAAAGAAAATGGATTATTAATAGATCAACCAATAAGGTGGGGTTGTGTGACCATAGCAAACTTACATTCCACAAAGCAATGAATATATAATTAATGTATTTGTTTATATG